GGTACATTCGCGGGCCGGTTCGAGGTGTTCGTGTTTGGGGGACGGAACACGCTGTTTAGTTGGAGTCAGATGGCGCTTGTTGCGCCACTGGACGTGATAGAAGGTGGTGTTGATAGTGGGATGCTTCAGACTGGCGTTATGCTGGGTAGATCATAGGAGGGCGTAATGCAGTCGACGCGATATAATAAGTGCCGACAATGTATACCACGTAATGGAACTTGGATACGGCAGGTTTGATGAGCTTCGAACGCTCAAATCCAGACAATTCATTTAATGTAATCGGAGCACGTTCTCTTGAATGCATGTAGGAAGCTGCCGGAACACGGGGGTCTTTAAGCAGACATCCCAGAACATACCAGATTGATGACATTGCTTCGTCCCTCAATACGTCGCTGTTAACCGCCCAATGATATAATCCCCACTCATAACATCCTTGTAGTTCCTGCCCTTCTCGTATGTGCCTGGTATAGCCTCGATCTTGCGGTCGTAGTTCGGGTTGCAGAAGTAGGCTATCGAGTATCGTGGCGGGTATTCGTCCTTGTCGGCGTCCTCCGGCTTTGGCGGTGGTTCCATGACGCGGTGCTTTGTTGACTTGATGGTGTCGTTCGACCAGCGTGCTAACAAATCGCCGGCGTTGACGACAATGGTGTCTGCGATAGGCGTGGCGTTGACGAAAGTGCCCTTAGGGGAGCGGACCTGAAGACCGCCGCGGGCGTCTTGGAAGAGGAGGGTTATAGAGCCTGTCGTCGTGTCAGTCAATCCTAGCGGCAAGTTGTGAAGACCACCATACCGTAGTCGCTGTGCTCTCCAGCGCGCACCTGCTCCTGTCCATCGTTCCTCTTGAAGATGCTCTTCGACACACCCGGGTAGTGCAGCAACCTCAACGTGTTATCGCCCGCATCCGTGAAGCCATCGAACCACTTCTCATCAATACCCATGCCCAGCGCAATAGCGCGCATGACCTGCATGTGCAGGTCCTTGCACGTCTCGAAGAAGCCCATCATCTGCTCCTTGAACTGCGTCGCCTCGTCGTCCCCACTAGGCCACATGTTCGGCATCTCAGGCTGGTCGTCGCGTCCAATCTCCATGCTCTCCTTGAGATCTGGCACCAACGCGCGCATCTCCGCTTCTGTGCCTGTCTCTTCCAGTACTACCAGCTTCTCTCGCCCTTGTGTGACATAGCCGCGGTTGGCGGCAGCCGAGTACCATGCCAACTTGTCTTTTTGCTCTTTTGGCCGCGCGAAGAACTTGGCGGAGTGCGAGAATACGGTCGATACGGTTGAGGGGGATATGCCGTGGTTCTTGAGGTAGATGAAGCCCGCGTTTTGGAAGCCTTTGAGAACGGCGTCGGCGGTTTGCTTCTTCGCGTCGGCGTCGCCTGAGAGGAATACGGAGAAGTCGATGAGCTGAGCATGATTAGGTGCTGGTCGGAAAGCATGAACGCAAATAAAGTACCGGAATCTCCAGGTCGTCCTGCGAGACGGCTGATGTGATGTTCGCCATGTCGTCACTCCTTGTCGCGTCGTTTCGGTCCGAGCTTGGAAGGGGGTGCAGGAGAACAGCTGCTATAAGGAGACACTCGCGCGATGGAAAGAGAGACTTGGATATCAGGCGATTTGCGCGTCAGCGGCCATCTCCGACGTAGTTCAGCCATGATGCCCAGATGGGACAGCTAGATGTTATAGGCGGGGTTGTTGCCGAACACAGAAGGTGTACACGAGCGCGATAAGGCTAATGGTGGGGTCGCTTGGCCGGAACCTCAACACCACGCTTGCATCGTGATATCTATCTCCGCCTATCATACAGCCGTCTCGACAACTTCGAGCTCAACACGTCTCAGCATGTCTTATTCATGCTCGAACCTCACTGCTCTCCACTCAGCTGGTGAGCCTGAGATGATCGCCCTGTCGCTGGTCGCACCGCCACTTTGGACCCGTCATCATCAGTTTAGACATCGTTTGACCACTATGTCAGGGAGTCTTAGTTGTGTGATCGGATGGAGACATTTGAAACGTGGCTCTCATTACGATATCGGCAAGGCGACGGAAGCGATCCTCGTTTGCGTAGTTCTAAGCAAAATATCCATATGACTACAGGCATGTCCGAGGTTACGGAGGGAGCACAACAGCTCAACTTGACGTGTATGAAGAAAGCCTCAATGGAAACACGAACATATCAAAAGGCACGATGATGAGTGCGCAGCAGGATACGGTTTCCATTTGCTCAGTGAAAAGTATGTGAGTTCATCAAAGTCTTGCGAGAGTATCTACCTTTCTTGGGTCTACTTTCTCGTCTTCTGCAGTCAATGAACATTGTCATCAGCTTACAACGAGCTATGAGCTCACTTCCCTTCTTTCCAATGGTCCCTCAAGTACGAACATGTTGTATCTCTTCCTCAATTCCGCGCATAAAGCGCGGATATCAATGAAAAGGAAAGGTGGGCCGTAAGTGAACCCGGGATTGCCAGTTCCTCGCTTCCTATCTTCCATTCAATATCTTGTCTCATTGGTAAGAGGGTGATAAAAAATGGTAAGCAGTCCACGATGGTCCGAACGCTCACGTCATCTACTAGAGATGTCAACCCAAACACCCAACATCTCCAACGTTAATTTTTACCAGAACGCCGGATTTGCTGAATGCTTGGTAAGTATTTCGTCCAGGATCGAGCATGTCATCAAAATGACGTAGCTCTGAGCAACGAGAGGAGCGGACTACTGCGCCGGACGGTCGCGATCATGACCAGCTCGTCGTTCTCGTACTGTGCGCGGATCCATACAAGTAGCGACGAGGCGCACCAGGTGCTCTGGCAGTGCTCGAATGCGCTTGAGTTGGTCGGGGTACTTGTCGAGTAAATCTTGTCGAAATCCGCCGTTTCTGCAGTGCGAACTGGGCCGGAGACTGTTTCTCCTGAAGAAGAAAAAGAGAGCAAGAAGGGCAGGGGAGAGCGAGATGATATACTCCTAGCGACACGCTAACAATTGCTCACGTGATTTTGGTAGTCCGCGCGCTGGAGCCTAGAAAACTCAGGAACCGCGTGTGAGTAGTGAAGGGGAGAGGAGTATCAGCTCCCAATTAGGTTAGACCTACGTCACTGCAAACACCCAGCGCACACAACGACGAAACCCGCTCAACCCCAAATTCTCAGACTCTCACCATCCTCTCCTATTGCCTACCTTTCCGACCTGGTCATGGACCCACCACGCATTCAGGCGCTCGTGGATGAGCTGCGGGAAACCATCAAGGCCTTGAACCGAGAGAAAGAGGCCCACAGTGCGACCTTTCAAGAAGTCATCAACCTCAGGAAGCATCTGAGGGAATCGGACCGCAAGCGGAAGGTCCTTGAAGGCGACAACGAGCTCTTGGTCCTCAAGTGCAAATTCCGAGAGGGAGATGGTGAAGACAAAGACGGTGGAAGCAGCGATGGCGACATGACAGCAGTCCATACTGACGACAAGGCGCTCAAGTCTGACCTACCCGACGCCCCAATCCATCACCCAGGAATGTACAAGGCATTCTCGGCCTCCCATTCGGAAAGTCTGAACGCCTCGTCTTCGGCAAACTACTTGGACCACACCACCCACGCTCTCTCAGAAGACAACGTCGCCGGCTCTACCCACGGTACCAAGCGGACCTTCGATGAAGCCAAGTAAGTAGTCGCCACGATACCACAGCCATTTCGCTAATTGATCTACAGCTCCGAAGATACCACGCGCGTCATCGTGTGCATACACTGCTATTCACTCAAGCTCCGATGCGACTCCGGAGAACCTTGCAATAACTGTGCCACATTCAAGCGCCTTTGCAAAAGGGCCAAATGCAAGGACTACGAGACTGGAGAATGCAAGCGAGCCAGCTGTCTGAGAGCACATCGCGAAGATGAGGAGGTATACGACAACATCGTCCGCACAGGACATATCGCGAGGGTTGATCCTTCCAAGCCCGCGAAGCCCAAACCAAAGAGGCGGCGGGCCTTCCGGTGCAAGAAGAACGACGATGACAAGAAGGGTGATTCAGGAGACTCTGATGGTGGTGGTGGTGGTGGTGGTACGAGTACTCGCGTTGCTCTGCAGTATTAGAGGAGCGCTGCGAGGATGTCAGGAGTGAGATGGAAGCCACCCATGAATTTGATAGAGCACGAATGAAAACATACACTTCTCAACGCTGTCCATTTCCCTCCTACTTTGGATCAACGCTGCTATATTCGTGAACTCTCAAGTAGGCCTGTCATGCTACAGGAGACCTCCGGGCCGCAGTATCGTTAGTGGCGCGCCTATGTATCTCATAGGTAGGTTGTCAGCCAGCTATGCATTGGGCAATTTGGACAATGTTTACCTCAAACACTACCATCCTTCTGCTTTTGTCGCCGCTCCAAAGAGATGTCGTCAGGAACGAGGATGACTATTGATCAACCTCTGTGGACTATATAGGATGAACTGTAGTGTAGGTGTCTCAAATAGCATAGTATGCGTTCCAGCTACCCGTGGACGTCAGCTGTCAGGATGGACACTAGGAGTGGCTACAGCTCGAGGAGCATTCTGTAAAAGCGACATTGAGGTAGAAGTATACACGATCTCAGAGATAGTCCAGTTGTCAATATTCGATTGTATGTATGCGACACAAGTTCTAGCCATCCCTGGTGCGGATGGGCTAAGATAATCGCTGCTTGCACCTCAATCCGTTGATCAAGATTATTCAGCTTTCGCACCTGGTAAGTCTCAACGTCTCACTCTACTTCACCAGAGCACTGGACACAGACATCACAACACACTGGACAAGGATTGGCCGATAGTTGCCCTATAGCTAGGCTGATACTGACTTATCTCACTCAGATGCATTTCCTATGTTGGTTAAGTTCGGCGACGTTAGCAATTCTCCTGCAATTTCATTGAATGATCATTTCGATTATCAGTTCATTCTATACGTATGGCTACGGTAACTTGTGAAGAAACGTTTATCGCCAACTCTTTCCCTACTAGGCAACGTTCAGGCAAGCAATACACCTAGTCAAGGTCTTCAATCCACCTGTACAAGGAAATCTCCAAGAGCTCGTTCTTGTACATCCTAGTTTCCGCCTTGATCTCCGCAACTTCCGCCTCGAGCTTAGCTTTCCTAGCTTTTAGAACCTCGCGCTCGATCTTCTGGGCCTCCACCTCAACCCTCTCGACAGCAATCCTCCTTCTGAGTACTGCGTGTAGCTTCTTCGTCTCTTTTATCACCTCCAAAGATCTCGCTGTCTGCGCCTCAATCATCGCTATCTCCTCGCGAAATGCTTTCTTCCTTTCCTCCTTGACTCTTGCCTTCTCCTCCTTGACTCGCGCTCTCTCCTCCTCCCTCTTCTTTGCCGCTTCTTTTCTTGCCATCAACTCCTTCTTTAAAGCCTCCGTCTCCTCCACTACACGAGCTTTCGCCTCTCTGTTCATGTCGCGACTTTGTTGCACAAGCTCGATCCACTCTCTGAGGAATTGCTCGTGAAGGCCTTGGTGCGCTTGCTTAAGTTCCTCATGATGACGGAGAATGGAGGGTTCGGCGTTGATCGCGAGCGCAGCTTGGTAGTCTTGTTCGATCTTGGCGGAATCGGCAACGAAGACGAGATGGTCCTTTTCTTTTGCAGAGAGCTGTACATTGAGCTGATCGAGAATCTCTTCGGCTGTGAGCGGATCAAAGGATGGAAGGGCTGTGGTATCCGTACCGTCGCCGCTGTCGGTATGGGTGTTGTCAGGCTCGGTAGAAGACATCGTGGATAGCAGAAGACGGCGTGTCGCGCTTGTGGAGCAGTGTGTAGCCTTAGGTGAGAAGATGGATAGCGATGGCTGTAGTGGTGACAGAGTATGAAGCGCAGAGTTGTAGAGTTTGTGTGCTCCTCGGCAGATCTAGCCCGTTACGGATACGTCAGTGAAAGACACGGACGGCGGTTGCTGGATATGTGACGACTCACTCCGGTCAAAATCGAGCTTATCGATGCTGAGCAAATAGAAATGGATCATTTGTCGAGCGGCGCGTGTAGAGATACTGCCTTTTTCGGTGTCGGTAGCACCAATAGAGCCCTGGAGGTGTAGGCAGCAAAGCGTACGGTCAGGTGTCGGTGTATTTGAGCGTTTGATTGGCCTCTCCTCTCCACCTCGTTGTATCATTCGCTGATTAGGCCGTTTGGTTTACCTGAGTGACGTCGCAAATTGTCGCGAAAATACGCACTGACTATATTCTACGCACTCGCCTTTTCAAAGTCATATTTGTTTCAAACAAATCTACTTCTTTCCTACTATCCTCATCTTCAAAGCCTACGTATCCCACCCAACGCACATCAGCAACTTTCCTGCAGCCACCCGCCCGCCCGCAACGAGCCCATATCAAGATGTCTTCCGTCGCAGATCTCGTCCAGCAGCTCGCCGATATGAAACTGATCATGGCCGCCAAAGATCGAACAATTGCCGCTCAGAAACAGAAGATGGCCGACAAGGATCTGGCAATCGCGCATCACCACAACAAGTCCAAGTCCCGCAAGTTTCGGATCGAAGAGTTGGAGGCAGATCTTAAGGAAGCGAAAGAGAAAATCGCAGAGATCGACTCCGGCGACTCGGACGCCACGAACGTCCAATATATCGAAGAAAAGCCGAAAGCTGCCCCTGTGTACTACGAGGACTACTACGAAGAACTTGTCGAGGAGAAGGCTGAGAACAAGGTTATAAGAGCAGAAAATGCCAAACTCAAGCACAAGACCTTCAGTCTTGAGTGCCAGGTCGAGCGTCTTGGGGGCGAGGTCGAGTCTAGCGATGAAGTCCCCGGTACTCCTGCAGCCGAGACTATTTTCCCCAGCGACGAGCCCTTGGATGGAACCACTGTTACGTCTGAAGCTGATATCGCTGTCCCCACTGACGAGCCATCGGATGAGACCGTCGTCACGCCTGAAGCTGATCCTGCTCCCACCGACGACGAGCCGAGAGGCCACAAGCGTACTCTTTCGCAGTCCGAGGTCGCATCAACTGAGAAGGTCGAGAGCAAGAAGGCCCGCCCTGCATTCTGGCGTGGAGACCTGACGAGCCGACCTAAGAAAAACCCAAAGAGACGTCAAGCGCAGACACAGGTTTGAGGTAGACATACCCCCAGACACATGTTGTACAAAATGCTAACATACCTTTTAGCAGCTACATACTCTCACATTGGCGTCCGCTGTCGCTCGAAAACTCATTGGAGCTCGTCAGGCCTCGTTATTGGTTCTGGTGTATGTGGTAGCGTTGGGGTTGAGTTGCAGCATACTGGGTGGGATTGCAAGGCTGGACAAAATCGCTGAGTTGATGATAAGCAATTCGAAGCACTAAACTATTGAGATAGACAACGTGATTGTGATCTGCCATCCTCCCTGGTGATCTGTATGTTGCATGTGCATCTGCTGTTGATGCGATGTTGTCGTGAAAGAGACGCGAGAATTGAAGACCTGTGAAGTTGGAAGTCGCGAATCTCGGCGTTAAAGTGGATACCTCGATGCTTAACTCCGAGCTTATGGGGCACAGCTTCCTCATACCGCCATTTCGTCTCAGAAACAACAGAGTGCACCTTTGACTCAGACTGCGGTCTGGTCATGGTTCAGACCTATCCGACACTACCAACAACTCAACATGTCGTTCCCTAATTGCGCATCTCCGCTGTTCGAGCTTCCACAGGAGCTTCTCGAAATCGTACTCAGCTATCTTCCTCCGTGCCAAGACGTGTTGAACCTGTCTCGTACCTGCAAAGCCATGCACGCAAAGACCATAGCGCATCTATACAGCAACATCAGCATGCAATGGCAGGCCGGTCATGCAACTCGCCCGCTGAGTATTCATGATTACCATCCGTGGCAACGCCGAGCTTTCCGGCCCAACTTACTCCTGCAAACAATCCTGGCGAAGCCCGCCTACGCGCAATCGATCACTAGTCTCAGACTGCAGACTACCGGGCTTGGGGGTTGTTGGGACGACTGGTTTCGTGATCCACGCAGACGGGAGCCTTTGGAGAAGCGGAAACCGAAAGCTGCCCCGATTTGGACAAACGCGAACGAGCGACTGGCCCTGGACGCCGTACGGAATGCAGGGCTGGAGTGGCACCATAAAGGACGCGGAGATGCTTTTGCAGTCAGCGGTCGTTCTTGGTATGAAGCTATCCTGAAGTACGATTTGGATGCTACCATAGCGCTGCTCGTGTGGATGTGTCCCAATCTTGTCTCACTCGATCTGGGGTTTCACATCGGCAGCGACGTAGTGTACATCCCTGAAATCTTGTGGAAGCTGCGCTCTTGTGGTGCGGAGTCACAAGCTCTCGGTTGTCGTAAGCTTCGAAACATTTATCTCGGCCGTGGGTATAGCGGTTATGTTAAGGAGGATCATCGGTGGTATAGTTGGAGTCGGATCAAGTATCTACACCAACATTTGGATTGGAGGGGATATTGGGCTTTCTTTTGGTGTCCAAACATCCAGAAGATTGAAATGAGCTTGATGGATGAGATTGCCCAGGCAGGTTTCCAGAAAGCAACACCTCTACCTGTCTGCTCAACGTTGACGACATTGAGACTCAGCGAGTCTTCAGTGGAACCAGACACACTCGCGAAACTGCTGTCTTGCACACCAGCTCTGAGGAAATTGGACTACGAATACTGGGTTCGCGATCAGGCGTTCTTCACCGTGGATTGCGCATCGCTCAGCGCCGCCCTCAACAGTGTCAAGAGCACCTTGGAACATTTGAGATTCTTTTGTCAACTGCATTTGCCGGGGTCCGTTGACGTTTACGGAAACTGCGATTTTCGGGAATATCCCGTTCTCTCCTCCCTTCACGTCCCGCCTGCCGTAATACTAGGCGGTGAGGCTTCCCTTTGGCCCCGAGTCGAGGAAGTCATACCATCGAGCCTGGAGGAGCTGTGCTTTGTCCATGATGGTCTTCTCAAGTTCTGGAGCCCGAAGGAATTGATACCGTTGCTAGACGACCTTTTCCAGGGTGGTTGGAGAGTTAAAACACCAAAGCTGCAACGCGTGTACGCGACGCACAACAAGCCGTGGAAAAAGGCGTGTAGGGGAAACTATCTGCGGCTTTTGAGCGAACGAAATGGATTAGAATGGGTAAACACTAGCTGAGCAAGAGAATGAAGATTTTGTATTTACAACACAAGGATTGTCGGAGATTCTGACAGAGGAACTCCGAAGCCGAGACAATACGAAATGTCCAAGCGGGTGCAGTCGGCGCGAAACGTTCCGCCGTGTACCGACATCACGATGATGGCGATGATGTTCGTGCTGCATCGGGAGCTGGACCCTGAGATCGCGCATTATGGGATGACGTCTTCGATTGAGGACAGACGCGACGCGAGACCGTACAAAGACAATGGCATACCACGATTTCTTGCTGAATCTCATCCTACATCTACAATCCCATCTCGCTGCATCGCATTCGTACACGTGATCCTACGTGCATTCCCACTACGACCTCGAACTCCATCACAGCCTCCAGTATGGGCAACACACAATCTACGGTGCGCTACCTTGCGCCGGCATCCTTCATCTACGACTTTGCTCTGCAACAATATGGCATCTTTTCGTCGCCCAACATGATGGATATCCACAACCGGAATCTTGCCGCCTTCAGCCCGTACCCATACTTTATCGGCGCATTCTTCTTCCCACAGCAAATCTTCCAGCTGGTCTGGTTGTGGAAGCTGTGGAAGCAAGATGGTAATGCGCAAGAGTGTGCGATGATGAACAAGTTCGCTTGGGTTTACAGTCTGGGCAACTTTTGCATTGGAAGTACGTATCATGGAAGTACCACGTGGTGGTGTAGGATGTATACTGACGTACGTGACAGCTTGGATGTTCTTCTGGAACTCGAACAACCTGGAAACATCGAACATCTTCGTCATCATCAACACGCTGGCACAAGTCGGTTACATTGCGACGGCGCTTGAGCCGCTCGACACACGCTCAACACCCAACCTCCTCACCCACATTGTCTCGAAGACATTCGCGGGTATCGGTGTGCTCGACCTTCTTCATAACACATCTGCAGCCTACTTTGTAGGTGTAGAGCCCAGTTCGCTGGTGCAGGTGGCTACCGGTGTTGGTTTCGCTGCGGCGGCTAGTATGAGCGACTGGATCTTCGGCGGCTGCTTGGTATACGACCTCGTTGCGTTGACAGTCGGACAGGAGGGCAACTGGTCGAGACTGCTAGGTGGATACGCGGCCATGACAGCGGGTATTGTGGCTTTCAGGAACTTCTTCTAGTAGGTTCACTCGGCCGTCGCATGCTGAGTCGTGCTGACGGATCGCAGTCCAAGGTGGAAGGCGCAGAAGGAGGGAAGGTACGCCAGGGTCGAGAATGGCGGTGACGTGGTTTAGATATTGGGGGTCGCAGGTCGCGATACTTACCTTGATGCGGACATCTCAGTGATGTGCACGTTGATTACTTCCTATAATGATAATTAAACTTCGTATCACTCTGCGGTCTCGGTAGCACACCCAGTCTGGTTCGCTGTCTTCGATATGCAGGTTCCAGAAGCTCGACACACGACGATGCCTCAAGTCCAGCCTCACTCATGGTGGGTTTCTGTTACGTTTCGAGGCAGATCTTAGTGCAGTGTATTAGTTGAGGCTTGGAGGCCGAAGCGACGGACCCATCCGATGGCGGAGAGGAGGGGCAGATAGGCATGCAGCGTCACTACAGCTGGCGCGCTATAGGCCGACCCCATATTGAAGTTGCTCGATCTGTGATGTGCGTAGATCTGGCGATGGCAGATTGGTGCTGCGGGATCCAGCCGGTGTCTCTTCCGCGTGACGTGCCAGCCTGATGGTCGCCGCCAAGGCCCGCGAACGGCGGCAAGCAGCTCGGAGACATGTGCGCTAGCATGATGCGCGTGCGCGCCCTTGCCCTCGAGATAAGCAACTCTTATCAATCACTCATAGCATCCCACCCGCCCAAGTCACACTGCTCCCGTCATGGCAGGCCTAGCCGCAACGGATACCGCTTGGCCTAGCATCGGTCATGCGAGCCCGCCGGGGGATCCTCTAGCATGTGGAGATGCTTCCTTTTGGGAGCCTGCGGTTGGCTGGCGTGGATGACTGTTGACGGCCGTGAGCTGCTGTATGTCTTCTGTCACACTGCTCTGACGTCTCGTGTCCTTTCTTCTACTCTTCCTCTTCCATTGCCTGCATCCCGCGCTTCTCGTGGCTGTCATAACCTCCATTCCGCACGCCGAGTCTTATCAGCAACTGACCGGTTCAACGACGTCACAGCGCCGAGCTTTGGAACAGCGACTCTCACGCGACAACTTATACAGATCTCTTGAAGGGCGGTCGCTCGGCCTGTACTTCAATTCTGATACCGACGTTACGCGTGCGTCGTATACGAGGTTGCATCCACGCCTCTGTGGCTGTACCAAGAGCCCGAACCAGCGCCTGACCACCCAGCCTGCGCTACCGAGACGTGAGAAAGAAGCAAGAAGCATCCGGAACACACGCGCGTTGGAGTTCCGGTTGACTTTCTACGGCAGTAACAGTCCAGAAAGCTGCGTCGTTCCTTCCCATCGAACCCACGAATTCGACCTATGGCACCATGCCTCCATACCTATCCCCCCTACATATAGCCAAACCCACGTTACCACCGACCTGCGAACCTGCGAACGAGTTCCTCTATCATCTCTCGGCGGCATTTCACACCTGCGTACCTACGAACCTCGCGCTCGTCTCGACATTGCTCGGCACGTGCAGCATCATATCATGGCTGTTCGCACAGCTACCACAAATATACAAGAACCATAAGCTGAAGTCAACATCTGGACTGAGCGCGTTCTTCTTGACGGAATGGCTCCTGGGTGATGTGACGAACCTGCTGGGCTGCCTGTTTACTGGACAGGCGTCATGGCAAGTCATAATCGCAGGCTACTACGTCTTCGTTGACTGCTGCCTGTGTGGTCAGTGGGTGTGGTACGAGCTGTTGCACCATGGGCGGCCGCTGAGGCCGATCTGGGGCCGATGGAGCAGCTCAGCTGGCAGCGGTTCAGGTGGCGGAGGCTCTGCCATGCATCAGGTTCTGGATGGGATGAGCATAGGCGGTACGAACAACGCGTCTAGCCCGCCAAAGTCACCGCAAGATTCAAGCGACACAAAGAACGTTAGACAGGATAGCGCGGCCAAAGACGTACCGCGCTCGAACGCGAAGGAAACCTTCAGGATACCCAACTTTGCGCGCTCGCCCATGCCTACCAAAGAATCATGGCAAAGTACATCTCCGTCAGGCGCATCACCCAACCCCAAGGTGCGGATAGCAGCCTCGAGCTCACCTATGCCCTCGCCCAAGACCGTCCTATACATCACTCTCATGATCGCCGTACTCGCCAATCCTACTACCGCTACGCCGATAAGTCCTTTTGCGCCAGGCCTCGCCCGTGCTCGCAGCCTTTCCGCATACACGACTACCGCGACCAGCTCACCTAGTGCCTCGGAAACCGCTGGCAAAGTCTTCTCATGGATGAGCACGTTCCTATACCTCGGATCGCGCCTCCCCCAACTCTACATGAACCAAGTCCGCAAATCGACAGCCGGCCTGTCTCCCACCCTCTTCGCGGCAGCCTTCTTCGGCAACCTCTTCTACTCGACTTCTCTCCTTACAAACCCTTGCGCATGGTACGACTACGCGCCAGGCGAAGGCTCCGGCTGGGTCGACCCCCAAGGCAGCGTAAGAGAAGACTGGGTCCTACGCGCCGCACCCTTCTTCCTCGGCGCAGCAGGCGTACTCCTCATGGACGCAGCAGTGGGTCTACAATTCTGGCATTTCGGCGACGCCACACCACGAGGCCGATCGCCAACGCCCCGCGACGACGAAGTCATCATCACCGTCGACGACCACGGTAAGCTGGTGCGCAGGAGTATGCATTGGCGCCGTGTGAGCGGGTGGATGAGGGGATGGGCTCCTGCTGTCAGTGTAGCTGCTACGCCGAATGTGAGCCGTGCGAATACGCCGATGGATTCTCCGAGGGATACGAGTCCGGCTAGTACGGCTGGGAGTAGTTCGAGCAAGAGCATTCCTATCAAGGGGAGGGGTAGCGCGTTGGATGAGGCGAGGGCGCTTTTGGGAACGAGTAGACATGCGAGTCCGAGGAGTTACGGCGCTGTGGGTAGTCCTAGGTAGTGGATTCGTTGCATTTGCGGCGATCGATCGATTTCTTGAGGGCGTGGCATCTTGCATCTACGAAGGGCGTTTGGGAACATCGGCCTTATAGCCTATACATATTAGCTTACGAAATGATCATTATCCTTACCATAACAATTCTACTTCCAAAGCGACTTGCAAAACAATCACCGAGCCAACACAAAGTCAGTGTTCAGATAGATGGTAGAGAACAATAGTTGTAACGTAGTAATACTGCAGTTGATCTTCCGCTGTTTCATAAAGGGTCCTATCTATCTACGAGTATCCAAAGAAAGCAACCAAGTCTAACCCGCCTCTGACTCTGGCAAAGGGAAAAAAGCACCAAAACGCCGAGCTCGACTAGCAACAAGAACATGTGACCAGACCGAAACCCCGAAGAGCCGCCCTACTGCTGCGAGGTATCACACCCTTATACAAAACGTGACGAGTAATCGTACAGAAGAAGCCGGGAGGTGTGTGTGTGTGTGTGTGGTGTACATAGGCAACGCCGTGGATAAGCGCTTACCCTTCAGGAAGTCGAACTTTTAGGGAATCTCTAGAAAAGGATGGGGAGGGAGTAACGCCATTGGGAGGAGAAGGCGTTTAGACACGCGAGACATCGCGACCGAAGCACTTGGCCTTGGCCCAGTCGAGCATGACCAATATCCTGTTGCGGGTGCTGAAGCACATGCTGAGGTAGGCGGAGCGCCAGAAGATGTAGGTGATGGTACCGCCGGAAGCGATGTTGCCGGAGAACCACGAGATGTCGGCAACGGCCTTCTCGGAACCAATGTAGGCGAGCGAACCCTGGTGAGAGTACTCGAAGGGACCGATGGATTTGATCCTCCTCAGCCTCTGTTGCAGAGCCTTGATCTCGCCGAAGACCTTGTCGCGGGCCTCCTTGCCGGGTGCCTTCTCCTGGGCGACGGAGAGCTCCGCAAGCTCACCCTCAATCTCGGAGGTCTTGGCCATGTTGTTGAACATGCGGGCGAGGAAAGCACCCTCCTGAGCAGCGACCTGGGCGGTGGGAGCGTAGTTGGCAACAGCGCAGTCACCGACAGCCCAGACGTTCTCGGTACCCTTGACAACGAGGTACTCGTTTACGGCGAGACCGCGGCGGGAGTCCTTCTGTGCGGGGATCTGGTTGATGAGGTCCTTGACGATGGGGCGGAGAGCGTTACCGGTGGCCCAGACGAGAAGACCGTAGGGGATCTTCTCGAGCTGCTTCTTGCCGTCGGGGCCAGTCGACTCAGCCTCGATGAACTTGGGTGTGACGTTCTTGACCATGGTCTTTGTGCGGATGGTGATGGTCTCCTCCTTGAAGGTCTTCTCGGTGTAGTCGATGAGCTGCTTGGAGAACATAGGAAGGACGTTGGGGAGAGCCTCGACGAGGGTGACGTGGAAGTTATCCTGGATCTCGGGAAGCCACTTCTTCAGATCGGAGTGGAAGAAGTCCTGGAGTTCACCGGCAAACTCGACGCCGGTAGGGCCACCTCCGACAACGACCATGTGTAGCAGGCGCTTCTTCTCCTCGTCAGACTGGTCCTTGAAGGTAGCAGTCTCGCAGCAGTCCATGATGCGGTTTCGGATGCGCTGGGCGTCGCCGACCTCCTTCAGGAAGAGACCGTTTTCCTTAACACCGGGAATACCTGTTCCATGTTAGCTGAGTTCGGGTGAAAATGGGCGGATGACGCACCGAAAGTGGCGTTCTCAGCACCAACTCCAACGACGAGCATGTCAAAGGGCACCTCGGTCTGGGAGACGTCGCCCTTGATGTCGGAGTCGTCGCTAATGTAGACGACCTTCTTCTCGTAGTCGATCTTGGTGGCCTCAGCTTCGTAGTATTTGACCTGGGCCTTCTTGTGGCGCAAGAAGTTGCGGATGGGCTCCATAATGGAGCGGTGCTCGATGGTGCCGACGGTGCATGAGGGCAGGAGGGGGGTGAAGAGGAAGTAGTTGCGCGGGGAGACGACGATGACATTGTAGTTTTCCGTGTCGAGCTTCTTCAGCAGGGAGACGGAGCCCCAGCCGGTACCTGTCGCGTGTCAGATGCATTCGATGCGTGCTGGGTCATTCGTCGCTACTCACCGAGGACGACGAGCGTCTTCTTGCTTGGGTCAGGCGGCGGCTGGTCGGCGGGGTTGCGAGTCTCGTAGATGCCGTATCCGACGTATCCCAGGCCGGCGATGGCGGAGAGGTACGTGAGGCGCCAGGTCCAGCGCAGGAGGCGGAACCGCTTGGCCTTGGGCTTGGGCGCGCTGCTCGACTGCTGGCGGACAGACTGGCGGAGGGCAATCTGGCACTGCGTGGGCCGGGGCGTCCATTGCGCTCTGTTGGCGATAAGCGACGGGCGCTGGGTGGTGAAGGTCCTGCGTCCAGCCAGCTGAACCTGCGAGAGCACATTGGCAGCGGCGAGCGGCCTCATGGTGGGTGCCATTGCAATGGTGGAAGCTGCGGAAGAGCTTCACGGAGTCAATGGCTGGGTGCGGGTGGTAGGGAGGCGAGCGAAGGGATGGTGAGGATGTCTCGTCGGTGCGCGGGAGTCAACTTTTTCTTAGCGATGACGAACACCCACCCTACCAAGACGCCTCGCAGGGGTCTTTGCTTCTGCGCCGAAAGATAAGCCTTGTTCCAATTAAAGCCCGCCCTGCCCTGCCCGCGCCCACACGCGAATTATTTCGAGCGCCAGGACAGCTACCATTAGTTCTCGAGGCCGATCACCCGCTACTCCCACGCTTTCGTTGGGATTGTGCTGATGCCATTGTGGCTGCACCCAAACCTTCACCTCCACGTCCAGTCATACACATCATCACATTCGAGTGCAAAATGCCTCATTGCATTCTCAATCCCTTTCACCCCCATTATTCAGCTCAACAAGCTATCGCCTCGCCGCCCCTCGGCTCGGCACCGACTCCGGTGGCCAGCCATGTACATGCCCTTTTGCAGTGAGCACCCGCATCCGGTACCGCGGAGGCACACATGGTGGCTTCAAGCGCCATTTAACCGAGCCGCATGTCCCTGAGCCTCAACGACTGCATACTGGACCCGTAGACCGACAGAATTCCTGGTTTTGCGGACCCGCCTGCCCAGCCTTGTGGTAAATAGTCATCATCCTACATCGCCCGAAACAACATGCGCCGCCGTGCATCCTTGAACCAATCCCCTCGCGACTTAATTCCATTGTGTCTCATCAATCTTGAAGTGGTCTCGATACGCCCCTTGGCGTATAGACCGCTCATGGGTTCAATGCGCCCTTCTCTATGAGCAACAATCTAAGCTTGCTATGGTGGTGGAATATGGAGACTGCCTGGAGTGCGTTCTTCAATTGTCCGCTTGGTGCATTCGGGCCTGGTGCATTCGGGTCTGCACCACTTTCGAGCAGAAGTTCTGCAATTTCCATCTTTCCGTACAGCGAGGCTGCTTGCAACGCGTTACCACAGTATCCACCTTGCGCGTTAACATTGGCCCCTTTATTCACCAACGCCTTTATCAAGTCTGCGTAATCATGGTGCACAGCTGCTTGGAGTGCGTTTCCATACATGCCACATTGTGCGTTAACGTCAGCACCCATTTCCAGCAGGAATAGTGCAGTCTCTTTGCGGCAGTGACATATAGCTGTGTAGAGTGCGTTGACGGAGTGCCCTCTCTCTCTGCGGCAGTGACATTTAGCTGTGGAGATTGCGTTGAAGGAGCACTCTCTCTGCGCGTTCACGTTGGCTCCTTTGTCCAACATTATAGCAGCAGACATTGTGTGGCCAAAATGAACGGCATGGTGGAACGCATCATCTAAGTGCTTGGGTCGAATATCCATACAGAACCTGGTACTCATGAGAAATCGAACGATTGAATCGTTGCCGTACATTACTGCGTCGTTCAGTAACTTCGCCAATTTGCCGTCTGGATCACCAGCCGAAATCACGCGATCATCCAAGAGCAACTGAACGACTTTCGCGTGGTCTCTGCGGCCAGCCGACATTATCGCGTCCCAGGGGTCTGAGCCTGGAGCTTCCACAGCATGCCTCCACAGTCGTATCAGCGTTGTCGTCAAATCTTCTGGACAGACCTTTGCTGCGTTGTTCAGGAAACCTCCTTCTCTTGAGTATGCAAATTTGCGATCTCCTGTATCTGCGATGTGTCCATCATTCAGCTCATGCCTATGCCTCTTGCGTGCTCTTCCTCTACTGAGAACAAGTGTAAACGCGCGAATCGCCGCAAAGTTTCCCAACGCACTTGCTGCAAAGACGGGACAGCCGTATCGCTCTTTTTCTATTCTCAGACATTGTAAGGGTTGGAAGTGAGCCAGTATGAGGTCAGCACAGTTCAGCTCTGCTAATCGGTACAGAAGGCTGACGTCTGATGAATTCGTACGGGTTTCATGGGACTTGAGCATGTTGTCTAATTTGGCCCATGCTCGAAGCGGAAACTTGCTGAGAAAATGCGCCTGTGATATGCCCCACTCTTCTGAGATATTTGCATGCAGCAATACATTCTGAGTAGCATACAACAGAAAGGGGAAATCTTGAGCTAGCTTGAGACTTGACGCCCTGGAGTAATCCGGCGAGCGGAGGTTACACTCAGGAATATCTGGAGGTATGACCTGCATGATCATGATCTTGGAGATCTGATTTAGACAGGATTGTTTCAGTCGCTCATGGCTCTGCCCATCAAAGTTGGTTTTGTACTGTGGCCAGATCCTCCCAAGGCCATTCTCGTTGAGGACAAAGTCGCGGACTGACTCGTGTATGAACTGAACCTTTCCTGCCTCCGGCTTCACGCATGAAGAGTGATCCTCCTCAGGGACATAGGGACGATACGAATCATCGGGCTTTGCAATCTCAACAAGACCCTTGGAGCAGTCTAATACAAAACGTTCAACCACATCTTTCGTGACATGATATCTGTTTCTCGTAGTCAGGGCCTCCGGATTGTTGCCAGACAAAACAGCATAGTAAAGCTCTTCGGGGCTTAGTGGAAGAGTCGCAAAAAGAACCCATTGAATACACAGAACCAAATCGTCGGTGTTGTCCGAATCGCGCGTCAGGATGTCGTGAAATAGGTTGTCCAGGTCGTTGGGAATCTCTCGCAACTTCTGTTCTAAACCATGAACTCGACCACGGTCGAATTCTTTGTTCAAAATACCGATGACCAGAACGACCCACATGAAAATGCCTGACGCCTTCTTTTGAAGATCAGTTCTCATACGTTTGGCCACGTCACTTTGCCCAATCTTTAGCTCTGCTTTGATGTAGTTGGCGATATCTCGTTCGTGCCCACCTTGATCATCCAACACGAGCTCTAGTCCCTTGCTGACTGTGACATGTGGATAATGTCGACTAGAGAAACAAACTGAAAATCGTACGCCTTTTTGGATACTCAGCTCGCCAACATCCTCGAAGAAGCGAATCATTTCCCGAATCTGCGCTTCTTCGCACTCATCTAGCGCATCGATGAAGCAAATAACGATCTTACTGCCTAGCTCTTGGATAGCGTTCTCGAAAATCATTTTCAAGGAATCAGTATCCCATTCACGGTCTGCGTTGAATTTGGAGCCCGGTGGGTAGAGCAAGTTCAAAACGTTTTGAAGCGACGGAATGCACTCGAGAAGGTGCACTAAGAGGGCACGGTATAATCCAATCGTGGATTTCTCCATGTCGTCTCCCCGAGCGTTGAAGAAGAAGGATAAGTGGATAGCCTGCCTCATTGTCCTTTGAGCTGACTCTACTGCAAACTTCAGCAGTGTAGACTTTCCGGCCCCAGCTTTTCCCTTGATCCACAATAGGCCGTTGTATTCGTGGTGATCGGTGGCGTTCATCCATCTGACATATTGGGGGTCATCTAAGAGCCATTTGCATGTTTGAACGTGAGCTCTCTTGATAATCAACTTGCGTGCTCCCAGGCGCTTGAATTTCAGTGACTCCAAAATGGTTCGCTTTTCCTCTACATTCAGCTCATTTTGCCCCTCGGTGTCGCTCTCCGCTGGGGTTGGTATCTTAGAGAGCAGTTCTTTCGCGTAAGCCGCTGCGGTCCCCGCTGCGTAAGGTTGCCAATGATCGTTTTTGTGCGAGTCAGCATAGTCGCAGATACCACGGATCACGACACATGGGAAGGTGTTCATAAGACCAGCGGCCTCCATCTCGAAGCACAAAACACCGCCGAGCTCGTGGCTAATCTGGTCTCTTTGCGTTCCAGATTTCATCACTTGATTGCCGGAAGCGATCGTGCCTGTATGAACTTCTACTTTTGCCCCATCTTCGCGCCCTGGGCGTATCACTTGTCTGTGGGTATTGCACTCTTTGCATGTGAGACCGCCCCCGTGATGGTAGGAAGCATCGAACAAAATATCCGGCCCCGCCTTCTTGCGCTGAAATGCAGGTATGCGTTCAACCTCGGCGAGGCGACTGCGTAGTGTACCCTTAGCCAGAAGGGTGTCTGCGTGGACCGCCGTTACGGCACTGAGCAGGATCTGTGGCGGCGCGTTTAGAAATCCTGTGCGTCGGAATTCGCCGGGTGATGACTTCCCCATATCGTATTGCACGACTCCGCCAAATGGACCATGCGGCTTGCTAACCACGATGTCTCCTAGTCGAACATCTGCATTTGCGCTCGGTACACCTCCGCCTATTCCTACCATCAGTCCGAAACGTATTCCTCTAAATTTCGCCTGCATCTGTGTTGCCACAGCTGCAGCTGGGTTCGTCCCGAAATGACCTGGCAGGCACACAATCACGACCTTGTGGCCTGCCACCAACCCCGTACAGTAGATGTTGTCGTCGTCCTGATCGACATCGCCCTCGGCGTCTTCGTATTCTTCGTCTAGCATCGCCTGCGCTGCTGCGAGTTCGACAGGCAATGCGCATACCCATCCCACGGTGTATTCATCGCGACGAGGCTGACGGGGCATCTGGGCGCGTTGCAGCCGGGCTAGGCTGACTGGAAGGCATGCGATCGTTTTCTGTCACGACAGGCGTAAGGAGGATAGTTGGGTAAGTAGGGTGAGCGTTGTAGATGCTGCGACAGCGCTTCTCTCGAGGGACGTTGATTAATCTGGTCAAGGCAGTCGCCATCAAAAGTGGGAGGGCAGGCGTTCGTGCCACCCCAGCCGGCTCATGAGGATGCGCCACATGAGTTGTCTATTGGCTAGCCTCACCCACCACGCGCATGCCTCTTTAGCTTTGTCGATTGGATGAGACATTTTTCTACCATGCTCGCTAATGATTTCTCCGTTTTTGCGAGTCTTCTGAATGTTCGGATCCAGTAAGTAGAGCAACTCGGTCGCCTGCGTCTTCGATACATGGTCACGAGCTGGATGTCACCTCTTACAGATGGAGCGCATCACCTGTGTTCAGTTTGGTAAGGCAAGTCATTACGTTCAGCCTAGCTCGACCTAACTTTCGTTCAGCCTCGGGTGCTTGGAACACAAGTATAAAACGATTAGATGAATGCGTCGAGGTAAGATATTCTGCATAATTAGTTCAGCAAGCATGTGGCTAATACTACTCCAGGCTTTAGGCACTTTATCACCACAATACCTGTTGAGATCACCTTTCTCTACGACCATCTTGAGACTGACTCTCGCATAGATTGATGCATCATGATCCTTTCTCGACCGGCAAAGAGCTGGCGCCGGACCTTCTTCGATTATTTCAAGTCCCGCAATATCTTCTTTCGGAAGGGACTCGACGTTCTAATGGGTTCTATGACCACAAGGAGACTTTTGATTCCGACGACCACTTGCAGGCAGGGTGTCAGTGCATCGGATACTCGACGAGGAACCAAAACTTACCTGTACTCCAGACATATGGTTCCGCACGCTAATCAAGACAGCCAACATGAATGGAAAGTTGAGCTACAAGTGGCATGAGATGACCTTTCTTTGCCGATGGGATGCTCAATGTAGCGTTACACTATGCATAGGTGTAGATGTTGCGTTCCAGAACCATCTCCAGCAAGCTCTACACAACATATGGCCTGAAGTGCAAGCGTCCCGGAATTTCTCGCTATTGATACCACTCGCTGAGGCTATCGTCACAATGTACGACATATCAGTATGGTCTATACGAGATATCGTAAGGCAAGCAGAGAAGGTGAGTACTTCTGAGGTACGAATGAGCACTGAACTAATTGACGTGTCCATCATAGGATCGCTCGCGCCCAACACGCGATGCCAATCATTTCACTCTTTTGCACGAAACAGCAAGACACGCCATCCACTCCTCTGAGACCCTTAATGTGTCTGTAGAAACACTAAATACCATGCAGCAACACGCTTCTGGCTGTTCAGACACGATATCGAGTACGGACGCGATTGAGAAGAAAGCTGCTGAGTATTCTACGAAGCACCTGAGCTTCCAGCTTCGCATGCTGCAGAATCTGCTCCTCCGGTCACAATCGAACAAAGAGCGACTGCAGAATGAGATCGCTCTTGTAAGTCAAAGATGCGTGTTGTGACAGACACTACTTATGTTTCTAGGCATACAACATGATTGCGCAACGAGATGGTCAGATAATGACAGGTTTGGGAGAGGCAGCGAAGCATGACAGCGGCGCAATGAGAACAATCTCGGTGGTGTCCATGGCCTTTTTACCTCCAACTTTTCTCTCAGTGAGTACCTAAATACCGACCATTCCACGTACAAAGACTGACGATGCACAGGCCGTGTTCAGTATGAGCTTTTTCGACTTCGTGCCTGGCCAAGATGGCCAAAAAGGGCAATGGCTAGTGTCCGAGCACTTCTGGATCTACTGGGCCTTCGCAATACCACTGACCTGCCTCACGATAGGAATTTGGGCGACGCGACAGAAGTGGAGTAGAGTACATAAGTAAAGAGGCCGAGTACGAAGCGTAAATACGGACTAAGCAGCTCAGCTTGCCAAAAAGGGTGGTGATGATGACATGCATCCATGGATTCACCCCGCTCATATCCGTGGATGCTTATCGATAGACCTTCCCCTCTCTCAACTAGCAACTAGCTACACACCATCACAAGCAGACTGGTCCTCTGAACTTCGATTCATGCAGAATTGCTCGTGAAACCAATTCAATCCCCACAATCCCATCTTCCAAGTCTACATAAACCATGCCTCACGCAACCGCAACCGTAAACGGCATCCTAGTAGCCGAGACCGACTCCTACGAAGTCGTTGACGGAAACATCTACGTAACCAACCCTTCTCCTTTCTTGCTCATCATAAGCCCCTTCAATCCATCTGATCCATGTCAGTTCCCACCCGACACCATCAAGAGCAACCACTTCAGCCCCACTTCAACTAAGACGCACTGCCCATACAAGGGCGATGCAAGCTACTACACCGTCACAGCCAATAAGACGGAAGTGAAAGATGCAGCGTGGTACTACCCGGAGCCATTGGAAAGCATGAACAAGATCAAGGGGTATGTTGCTTTCTACAAGGGAAAAGCTGAGGTGAAGAGTGAGTAGAGGGAAGAAGAAGTAATGTGGTGGTCATGGGGTTACGTGTGGATGTGGGTATATTCAGTATCAATTGAACTCCCAAGAAACATAATGCAAATGTTCCTGTCTAATAACGCCGATAAATGCTCATCATCATAAGGTCTGGGCTTGACATTTCCAAGATCATGCATCAACAGCCATCATCATCGTGTCATCGCCATCGATGCCTACAGCCGGAGGCTCGATCATAACACCCCGCCCTCTTCCTTGGAGCAGTTCCCTTCGTACCTCTGCGCTAATGCTCCTGTGACCCCTTGTGAGCAGCAAGTCGAGCAGCGCCTCTCGTTGGTCCTCGGTGATATCGTTCCTGTATCTTTGCGCAAAGGCAAGCAAGCACTGATGCCAGATGACGGGCAGTTTACCTGTGTTGCCGAGGTCGCCAGCCACAGACTCGGTGTCCATGGCGTCGGCACTGCTGGCGCCCACGCCGCGGAAGCGCAGAAAGTGGAATACGAGTGCGTCGATGACCTTGAAGGGGAGGGCGTACTTCTTCTCGAGAAGGGTCTTGATGAAGATGTTGCAAGGACCGGCGGCGTCGGGGTCGGATGACATTTGCTCGGCGGCGATTTCACACAGACGGTGGAGGGCGGCTGCGGAGTGTAGGACGGGCACGGAGACCTTGGCTACAACGGATGCCACGATCGTGGCGTCGCGCTGTGTGCAGGTGACGTCTGTGAGCATGGGGAAAACGACACCCTTGAAGAAGGCGCTGGGCTTGTAGAGCGCCTTCTTCAGCGCATTGTACAGATGCACGTTCAGCTTGTGTGTCTCCCGGATGTTCTGTTGTACCAAAGGTAGCAGTATGGTGTTGAGGAAGGTCTGCGCCGTTCGCGGGTCTCTGGAGATGAAGATTCGGGTAGCAGCGAAGGTCGCGTTGGGTGTCCAGTCGTCAGGACGTGTGATGGCGACGAGCGTTTCCCAGGCGGGGATCGTGGGCAGGATCTTGAAGGGCTTGGGCAGCTTGCCGCTCTTGTAGCGGCTCAGGATTAATCCAATCTTTGAATACACTGTGCAGGCTTAGTAGAGTTACGAGATTTTGTAGTGAGGATGTTGTACCTTCGACGACCTTTGCTGGTAGTTCGATTGCGTCTTCTGGAGCACCACCGCCTTGAATCTCTGGTTGCTGTACTTCGCCTCCGGCTTCATGCGCAGCGATCTTCTCGAGGATGAGCGCTGCGAGATCTGTGCCGGGACCTGACTGTTGCGCTTCTTCACCAGGCCATACGATGGGGTTGTCGTCTGTTGGTATGAACTTGTTCCACGCCGCCAAGTCGTTCGCGTCGATCTCAACCTCTTCCACCTCCTCGTCGTCCTCACCCCATGCTTCATCGTCGTCTTCGCCTTGAATCAGATCCTCTCCTGGCATGTCATCCTCGCCCATGCGTGTCTCAAAGTCGAAGGCTGGGTTGGCTTCTTGCGGTCTCCGGATCTTGTTCTCCCTCGCATCCTCCTCCTCTAGCTCTCTTCCAATCTCCAAGATTTTGCGCGAGCTCTTGGAGTCTACGTATTTCTGCTCGTCGTCTTCCTTGTCGCTCTTGTTTCGCTTTTGTCGCTTCGGCGCCTTGTTCTTCCACGGGTCGGAGGGCGCATATTCTTCGGCTAGAGGGTTGTGTCGCTGATCGCGCACACCAGGCGATTTGGGTGCTTTCGGCATGGTGGGTATGTGGTCGCTAGCGCAGGACCAGGAGAGGCGCAATGTGCTTTTCTGAAGTTTTAGTAGGGTCGTGGCTGTATTACAGACGTTTGTCAGAGTTGGCGGCAGTGAGTAGTAAAAGTTCGAGAACGAGATAAATTTTGGTGGGGTCTGCCTAGCGCCGCAACTTGCATGTCCAGGGTCGCGCCTTCCACCAACATAGCTACAGCTGTCGCGCTTTCCACTCCAGCTACATCCACCCTCAAAATGGCCGACTCACACCCCCCTTCGCGTTCCAATACCCCCACACTCGTGCCTCCAATGCGGCGGCCACTCGAAGGAGACAACGCGCCCGCTGTCTCGTCTCCGCTCAACCCCAATCCCGATGCGGCAGCGCGTGCCAGACCGAAAGCTCCTGCGCGCGAGCAGAGAGAGAAGCGCGAGACGATCAAGAAACGCGAAGCTTCAGCGTCGACGCGCCAGGCTACTCCGAGCGCAAAGTCCAGCAAGAAAGAGCGTCCCTCAGCGGACTCACCCATGCGATATTCGATCCCCGAGCCCAGACCCTCCGACTATGAAGCGCCAAAAGACAGCACGCTGGTGTCACATGAGCCAAACCCCATGTACGCGCCTGATGGCGTTACCGAGCTGAAGAAGCCACACGATATCGCCTGGAACAAGAAGGGCTACAAGTACACCCACTGCGTTGCCGACCCGCTCTTCCGTCACAAGCAATACTACAGGCAGAGCGATTCCAGGCCGTATGGACCGCGGATGAGCCATGAAGACTGCGACAGATGGTTTCACTTCGACAACAGCGCGACGATTGTATCGCAGGAGAAGGGCTGGCGCATGGGACGCGGGAACGTAGTCGCGAGAGAGGGCAGGATATACTATGAGGTCAAAGTGCTAAGAGGCATACCCAAAGACGGCCCAAAGGATCCTATCGACCCTAAGACGGGAGAGACGAAACCTGGTCCCCACGTGAGAATGGGTTGGGCAAGGAGAGAAGCGCCGTTGGACGGACCCGTGGGCTTCGACGGCTACAGCTACGGCATCACCGACGCGCGCTTCGAGGCGCAACATCGATCGCGCGCCTCCAAGATCTTCAAGCCGCTCCCCAAGAACGCAAAGAGCAAGCACATGAAGGCCAGGCCCCCGCATGGCAAGCCAATGCCAGTTGAATATGTTATAGATCAGCATGTTCAAGAAGGCGATGTGATTGGGCTTGAGATCCAGCTGCCGTCGCTCTCAATGCATCGCAAGGTCGTGGAAGGCATCTACAACCCGGCCGTCGATTTAGGAGATGGATTCGACACCGTCAGCAACCAAGACCCATTCGACCGTCCCATCGACATCATTCGCGATCGCATACCTGTCCCGTACAAAGGCAACTTCTACTTCGAGCAGCTCGACTACCAAGTCACCAAGATGGTGGAGGCTTACCACGATCGCGGTCCGGTACCCAAGATACACCCCTCGCCGAATCACGAAGACGTCAGTGTACGATCACTACCACACTCGCACATCAAGGTCTACAAGAATGGTGAGGAGGTCGGCATCGCCTTCGAGAATCTGCTTGCCTTCCTTCCTCCAGCAAGTATACCATCAGTCGAAGCTATCAAGGCTGGTGCACGAACAGGCTTCGACGACGGCATGGTAGGATATCTGCCAGCTATTTCACTGTTCAATGGTGGTGTTGCCCAGGTCAATTTCGGTCCCGACTTCTGGTGTCCGCCCGAAGAGATGGTACAGCAGCGCGAGAAGGATACACAAATGGTCGATGGTGACACAACCGAGCAGCAGATTCCAGATGGCCGTAAACTGCGAGCTATAGGCGAGCGATACAAGGAGCAGATTGCCGAGGATGTTGTTTGGGACATCATCGATGAGGTTGACTTCTTCTCCCAGGACGGAGGATGGGAGTACAAGGGCGAGGCTCCTCAGGACGTGGCCGGCAAATCCACGCCTAGGGCGCGTGGCTTTGCAAACGCGGATGAGAACATTGGTGTTGAGGTGGCCAAGCGATACTAATGAAGAACAAAAGCCGTTCTGGTGTTCAGTGGATTGTAATCATAGCGAGGCGTATAGGTATACCCGTTATCAATGATTGATATGCATCTCTCGCCTTTTTTTTCTGGCATCGTCCCCGAATTGTCAATCTCTCTTGTCCGCTCCGATGCGATCGATACGTTTGCGCTGTTGGTCCATTCGACAGATGACAGCCTTCATCTACGGCACTTCGGCTTCTTGCTGCACCAAATGGCCGCTTAATCGTGTCACGTATAGCTACACCTTGCTAAGAGATTTCGCGCCCTACGCCCTACGTGGTTTTACAAGCATTCGCATTAATTCCGCCCACAAACGTACTCTGCCAAAGAAGGCAATTAGCGCGGAATTAGCGACATCGGACATGCGTTTAAAACTAGCGCAACGTACCCGTTTACGCCAACATTGAATATATACCCACGTATCCTAAGACACTTGTCCACACTTATAAAACATTGTCTGGAGAGGTAACTTGCCCTCCTCTTGTCCTCTTGCACACATTACTCCTCTTCCCACTACCCCGCCATGGATTCTTCACAATTCCGCGAAGCGGCCAAAGGAGCCATTGACGAGAGTATGTGCTCCCAATTTCCCCTGATAGAAGCGTAAATTAACCTACCCCCAAGTCGCAACCTACTACGACACCCTCGAGGAACGCCCCGTGCTCCCCTCCGTCAAACCAGGCTACCTGCGCCCGCTACTCCCCGCCTCCACCCCCGAAGAAGGCGAAGCATGGGAGACGATCCAAGCAGACATCGACCGCGTCATCATGCCAGGTCTAACTCACTGGCAAAGCCCCAAATTCATGGCTTTCTTCCCGTGCAACTCGTCCTTCGAAGCCATGATAGGCGACATGTACAGTGGAGCCTTCAACGCCGCAGCCTTCAACTGGATCTGCTCGCCCGCGATTACAGAGCTAGAAACCGTTGTCATGGACTGGATCGCCAAGCTCATCGCATTACCGAACGACTTCCTCAGTGACGGTGAGGGCGGAGGCATCATCCAAGGCACCGCCAGTGAAGTCGTACTAACCGCCCTTGTTGCCGCCCGCGAACGCCTCATCCGCCGTAAACTAGGCGACATGCCTGAAGGCGAAGAGAGAATGGACAAGGCAGCCGATATCCGGGGTAAGCTCGTGGCGCTGGGCTCCGAACACGCGCATTCGAGTACGCAGAAAGCGGCTGTTATCGCAGGAACCAGATACCGCAGTGTCCCCGCATCCAAGGAATCAAACTACAGCGTCACGGCCTCTGCGTTGCGTAAAACCATCGAAGAGTGCCGTGCGAAAGGGCTGGAACCGTTTTACTTCACCGTCACGATTGGCAGCACGGGAACGTGCGCTACCGACGACTTGGAAGGCATTGCGGCGCTTGCGAAAGAGTTTCCTGACCTGTGGATCCATGTCGATGCCGCGTATGCGGGATCTGCGCTCGTGTGTCCCGAGTATCAACACTTGTGCAAGCCGATTGCGGCGTTTGACTCGTTCAACTTCAATCTGCACAAGTGGCTGTTGGTCAACTTTGATTGCTCGGCTTTTTTTGTTAAGAAGAGGAGGGATTTGATGGATACGTATAGTATTACGCCTAGTTACCTGCGTAACCCTCACTCCGAACAAGGCCTCGTTACGGACTACAGGGATTGGCAGATCCCGCTCGGTCGGAGGTTTAGGAGCTTGAAGGTTTGGTTTGTGTTGAGGAGTTATGGGGTTAATGGTCTGAGACAGTTCATCAGGAAGCACATCAAGTTGGGAGAGTACTTCCATGAGCTCTTGCTGTCGAAGCCGGAGTTGTTCAGCGTAACTACCGAGCCGGCGTTTGGACTCGTCACTTTCCAGGTTAAGCCAAACATGGCTTCGGGGGCGGCGAAGGCGGCGAATCAGGCTGACCCGTCGCACGAGGCACTGCAGAACGACTTCCACACGGATGCTGAGGCGCAGTACAAGGAGATGGTCAATCAGAAGACGAAGGAGGTTTACGAGAAGATCAACAGCAAGGGCGATTTCTTCCTGACAAGCACGGTTGTGGGTGGACTGTATGTTATCAGAGTGGTCAGTGCGACGATCAAGAGTGAGGAGAAGTGGATGAAGCAGATATTTGATGAGTTGGTGGAGGCTGCGGATGGCAAGGGCGATGTAAAGGTAGCTTGAGTGTAGCTTGTGTTAGTCTTATGCTATCATCCCTCCTTCATTCCTTCCACATGCGATACAAAGCCATGTGTTTTATAGAGATTGAAAGAACATATACACAACGCAGCACCGTATCTACCATGTGCATGCCACCAGGGGGTCTACATGAGCGCTTCGCTACCTACTCTGCGGCCTGGAAGTATCTTGTGGGTGCCAGGCCTATCCGAGAGTTCACGAACGTGGCAGCGTTGATTCAACGTAGGAGGAAAAGGGGGCATGAAGCCCCAGGGGCTCAAGATGAAATTGCATGAATCCGAAGTGGTGTCATCAGTCCAACCGTAATATCCGCACTGCATTTCCACCAAGAACATCCTTCGCTTTCTTGTCATCCGTCGAAAAGGCTTTCGAGATAGCCCCATAGTTTGCGTTGACACTGTGCCACTCCTTCGCGTCTTCTTCCAGCGGTGGGAAGAATGGGTGATCAGTGCCTGCTACTGTTAGCTCCTAGTCTCACATATACGTGTAGTGATGCTTACCAAACAATAACCGATCAGATCCTGATGCATCAAGAGCGGCCTTCAGTCCCACTTCCGAGTAAATGACAGCATCCAGGTAGATGTTCGTCTTCAAGATATCCCACACATCCCTCCTGTTCTGTGTCTTGCCATGCTTCTTCAAATGTCCATCGTGCAAGATGCACGACTCAATGCGACCTGCCAGGAACGGTAGTGTACCTCCAGAGTGTGCCAATAGCACGCTGAGCTTTGTGAACCGATCCCAGACGCCGCTCAACAGCATCCTCGTCACCGCAATGGTTGTCTCCAAGGGGAAGCCGAGTGCTAGTGGTAGGACGTGTCCGTATTCGCTCGCGCGGGGTCCGTAGACGGATGTAGGTAGGCCGTAGTGCGGGTGGAGGAAGATGAGTTGTTGGTGCTTTTCCAGTGCTGCGTAGACAGGATTGAGGTTCTCGTCGTCGAGCCCTTGTCCAAGGCCTGAGGTGCCCATAATGACACCGCGTGCGTATTTGAGTGTGCTTAGTCTCTCGATCTCGGCGGTTATGACTTCGGGTGAGGCTGAGAGTGGGAGGGTGCCGAAGAAGTACAATCGGCCGGGATACTGCGAGCATTGGTCGTTGACATCGTCGTTGATCTTCTTCGCAGCTTCGCCAGCTTCCTCTGCGGGAAGGAAGTCTAGCCAAGGGTTTGCTAACGAGATGACAGATTTGTCAATCTTGTGCAGGTCCATGAAAGCTATCTTTTCTTTAATCTCGTAGTATTCGGAGCCAATTGGGCGGCCGCGGGAGGTTGACGGTGTTGAAGGGTCATCTTCTCCGGGAAGGATGATGAGACGTGCTGAGTCTGGTGCATCGGGGAATGTTCGAACGTATGGTACGGTTGTTCGTGAGCGTAGTAGCTCCATGTATTTGGGAGGGTAAACATGGGTGTGGACGTCTACGATCGTCATGCTGGCTGATGGGACGCGTTTTACGCGTCAACGTGTGAGTGGAAGGTGCTGTGGTGGTGTATTGACACTTCAAACGCGTTCTTCAGAGCGAAAGAGAAAGCAACAAATTATCAGGCTATTCTGTCTGACAGACAAGACGTATCGTGGATGTTTTGACCCTGGTGGGGTAGCTTGAACTGCCCCACTACCGGGCGTCCAGCATCCCACCTTCCCCAAGCGGCAAGAAGCTATGGAGCCGTTGACGGAGATGGCCGCGATGAATATGTGTCACTTTGATATGTCGAAATGTCTTGTTACGTACTGCATTCGGGACGACTTTATTTGATCAGTGAGACTGTGGCCGATCAAGCCCATGTCCTCAGGAAGACGTTTGGTGGCTTATCCCAGGTCTCGAACTCTGCATCCACCTCCCACGGAATATCTCCTGTACCCTCATCCTTGAACCCCAGTCTCCTATACACGGGTCTTCCCATAGTGCTTCCCTCTGTTGTGCACTCCAAGTTGCCCCTCTTCTTTGCCTCCTCAAGACCGACCTCCACCAGCTTAGCAGCAATGCCGCGACGCTGGTATGCTGGATCAACAGCACAACAGTCCAATGTAAAGATGGCGGGAGGATTGCGGCCTGATTTCTCGACCTCCCGCATGTATGCGATACGTCGTTTCCATAGTGAGTTGAACATTTGTGTTGCAAACCGCCGTTTCTGGTCATCATAATCTGTGAGCGCTTCCTCCATGTCGCCGTAAAACGGATCGCCGTAGCCTTCCACGAACGACAGCTGCTTCCAGATGGCTATTCCAGCAACTCGTCTTTCGCCTTGCTTATCCGGATCAGGCACGGTAGCCTTGAGATAGAGGGCATTGGGTTGTCCGTCTTTGTTGGTGGTGATGGACTGCCATCTCTTCATCAGGATCTGAGCTTGCTTCGCCTGCCCTTCTTCCGAGTCCCAGCCGGGCGTCATCAGTTGCCATAGGGCATCTTTTGCTTGGTGACCGAAGGCTTCGGAAAGACAATGCTGCGCTTGCCTAAAGTCTCTTTCCGTCTCGCAAGGAGACACGATGACGTCGTTATTCGCGGTCATGCCGAAGGTAAACAGAAGTGGTGTGAGTGTAATTGTACTTTACGCGGAGTATGTTGGGGAACACGGCGGATTTATGTCTGGGGTTAGTACACTAGAATCGAATGACTAAAGACCCATAAAACGCCATCGCCTATAGTCTCGCGGACAACTCTGCTGATGCCTAGTTCTTGGCATAGCATCCCAATGTGGTATCGCATCCTGATGAAGAAGACGAGTGTCAGAGTTCAAAGGAAACAGCGTTATGGCGCAAGTCCAGTGTAAGGCTTTATGTGACTGGGGGCGTGAACGACATGGTGACAAGGCTGCAGGTAATATCCAGAGGCGAGCTAGCGAGGATGATTAAATACAACTATTGAGATGAGCTCACTGAGAAACCCTGGACGTTGACGCGTGTGCGTGGTGATGCAAAGGGTGCGGAGAGGGTTGGGATGGGAGCGTGGATGGCAGGCGACGGCTAGCGTGGCGCAAATCAATTAGCAGGGATGACGCGCTCGCGCCTGCGACACGCTTTCGCGTTCTCCCTGGGCGCCTTCCATCTACTCCACCAACAACAAACACACACCCACCAACCCTCCCTTATCACGCGCTTGGGTGTTGTATCTGTCGGCCACATATTCAAGATGCCAGGAGCCGTCACAAGAGCGCCGGCGAAGCGCGCCCTCGCCGAAACATCCAGCACACGCACCAATGTGCAGCCGTCGCCCCACTCATCCAAGAAGCTGAAGCTCCAAAATGGCAATGACAAGAGTAGACCGCCAACCAAGACGGTCAATGGCTCCTTCAACTCGAGCCAGGTGGGCCCGAGCCAGTTCGAGGAGACGCTGGAGAAGATGACGCAGGACATGGAGACGCTGAAGAAGGACAATACAGAGAAGGACCAGCAATGGCGGCGGCCTGCCTTGCCCGAGGACTTCAATGAGATGACGCAAAACCTTGTCTTCCAACAGATCGAGGCTGAAGAGGGCGTGTTAAATGGCGGGAAAACAACCGTCAAGCTCTTTGGTGTCACAGAGGTGAGAAGCGTGCACATGGTATATATCGACTTTGACTGACCGTATATCATAGACTGGCCACTCCGTCCTCATCCACGTCACTGGCTTCCAACATTACTTCTACGTCGCCGCACCCCTCAACTTCCACAAAGAAGACTGCGAACCGTTCAAGGTTTTCCTCGAGAGCGAATGCCAGAAGAACTTCAACCAACACTCAGCCGTCATTGCATCGGTACAGATGTGCATGAGAGAGAACATCCTGCGCTTCCAGGGAAACCAGAAGAGCCCATACCTGAAGATCACAGTGACTGATCCCAAAATGATCAATCGCGTGCGGATGATGGTGCAAAAGGGCAATGCTAACTACAAGCGCCTCTGGCCGGCCAGAGAAGACGGTATCCTCACGTTCGACAACATTGCCTACGTACTGCGCTTTATGATCGACACCAAGGTCGCCGGTATGTGCTGGGTCGAAGTTCCAGCAGGCAAATACAGAATGATCAGCCCCCGCGACCGACACTCCAACTGCCAGATTGAGGCACAGCTACACTACAGCGATTTGATCGCCCACCAATCTGAAGGCGAATGGGCCAAACTCGCCCCCCTACGCATCCTCTCCTTCGATATCGAGTGCGCTGGCCGCAAAGGTGTCTTCCCGGAGGCCAACGTCGACCCCGTCATCCAGATCGCAAACGTCGTTACGAGATACGGAGAGCCGAAACCCTTTGTCAGAAACGTCTTCTGTCTAGATACAGTCAGCCCCATCGTTGCGACACAGGTCTTGTCGTTCCAAGATGAGGGTGAAATGCTGATGAAATGGCGGGACTTCGTAGAAGAGGTCGACCCAGACGTCATCATCGGCTACAACATCAACAACTTCGACTTCCCGTATCTACTCGACCGCGCAAAACATCTCAAGTTACAGAAGTTCCCGTATTGGTCCCGTCTGAAGACAGTGCAGTCCAAGGTAGAGAGCTCGAATTTCTCGAGTAAACAACTAGGAAACCGAGACACAAAGACTACCAACACCAACGGTCGTCTCCAGCTTGACCTGTTACAGCTCATTCAGAGAGACCACCAACTGCGCAGTTACACGCTCAACTCGGTGTGTGCTCACTTCTTGAAGGAGCAGAAGGAGGATGTACACCACAGCATGATCACAGAGCTGTTCAACGGCGACTCCAACTCCCGGCGACGATTGGCTGTATACTGTTTGAAGGATGCCTATCTACCGCAGCGATTGCTCGACAAGCTCATGTGTCTGGTCAACTACACAGAAATGGCTAGGGTCACAGGTGTGCCTTTCAACTACCTTCTTGCCCGTGGACAACAAGTTCGCTTCATTAGCCAGCTCTTCCGTAAAGCCCTCGACCATCAACTCATCGTTCCGGACCTTCCGAACCAAGGCGATAGCAGTGACCAGTACGAAGGTGCGACCGTTATCGAACCCAAGCGCGGCTACTACAAGGAACCTGTCGCGACCCTCGATTTCGCATCGCTATACCCCAGTATCATGCAGGCCCACAACCTGTGCTATACGACCTGGCTCGACAAGCAGACGGTGGAGAAACTTAAGATGAAGAAAGACGATGACTACATTGTGACTCCAAACGGTGACATGTTCTGCACAGCAAAAACTCGTAAGGGACTCTTGACCGAGATTCTGGAAGAATTGCTGGGTGCGCGTAAGAGGGCGAAGAAGGAGTTGGCGATCGAGACCGATCCCTTCAAGAAGGCTGTGCTCAACGGTCGTCAGTTGGCCTTGAAGGTCAGTGCCAACTCGGTTTACGGTCTAACAGGTGCTACCAACGGAAAGCTACCGTGTCTTGCCATCGCCAGTAGTACCACAAGTTTCGGTCGCCAAATGATTGAAAGGACCAAGGCGGAAGTCGAGGCAAAGTACAACATCGCGAACGGATACACGCACGACGCAGAGGTCATCTACGGTGACACAGATTCCGTCATGGTGAAGTTTGGTACGTCCGAGCTAGCGGAGGCGATGAAGCTGGGTGAGGAAGCTGCGGACTACGTCTCTTCGAAGTTCGTCAAGCCAATCAAGCTGGAGTTCGAGAAGGTCTACTTCCCCTACCTGCTCATCAACAAGAAGCGTTACGCTGGTCTCTACTGGACGAATCCGCACAAGTGGGACAAGATGGACACGAAGGGTATTGAGACGGTCCGCCGTGATAATTGCCGCCTGGTCCAGACTGTCATCGAAACTTCGTTGCGCATGCTCTTGATCGACCAGGACCCTGAAGGTGCCCAGGAGTAAGTCATTCCGCCATCTTCGCACTTTCGTCTACTAACATCGGATAGATTCGTCAAGGAGACCATTGCGGATCTGCTGCAGAACAAAGTGGACATGTCTAACCTTGTCATCACCAAAGCCCTTACCAAGCAAGAGAACAAGGACGGAACAGGTGGTTATGCCAACAAACAAGCACACGTTGAGCTAGCCGAACGCATGAAGAAGCGCGATGCCGGTTCAGCGCCCGCACTGGGTGATCGTGTCGCCTACGTTATGATCAGAGCCGCCACCGGTGCGAAGAACTTCGAGAAGTCTGAGGATCCCCTCTTTGTCCTCGAAAACAACTTGCCCATCGACACGCGTTACTACTTGGACAACCAACTGGCGAAGCCACTGGGCAGAATCTTCGAGCCCATTTTAGGTGAGAAGAAGGCAGCCTCTTTACTCACAGGTGATCACACGCGTTCCATCACCGTCGCGGCACCCACGATGGGTGGTTTGATGAAGTTCGCCAAGAAGACATCAACATGCATGGGATGCAAGAAGCCACTTACCGCTGCGCATGAGAAGGACGGCGCCGTTTGTGAGAACTGCCGACCTCGCATCGCCGAGCTCTACACCAAGACGCTAGGCAAGGTCAGTGAGCTCGAGGTCCGCTTCTCACGTCTTTGGACCCAATGCCAGCGATGCCAGGGCAGTGTTCACTGTGAAGTCATCTGCGCATCCAAGGATTGCCCCATCTTCTATATGCGCATGAAGGCGAGGAAGGATGTTGAAGACGCAGGCAAAGAGCTGGTGCGTTTCGACAAGGACGCGGCGCTGTGGTGATTTAGTATTGTAACACCAGCAGGTGGTTAGTAAGTGGTGTTTTTGGCGTTTCGATGGCATGAATATCCGTCTGTACAAATATGGGGGCTCACTAAGCATGTTTAAGATGCGTAGCGATATCAGCATGTATACTTCTCAATGGATATTGTTGCAATCACTTGTTGCGTTTTTTGTGTCTTGCGGTTGTTCCAGTGAAGACGCTGAAGCGCATCCGAACTTCCTCTATGCCCCTTCCTTCTCCACAAGCCGACTCTTGTCCGCGACAGTTTATTCACGACCTGGTGTTCCTTATACATCGCCACAACACCATCCCAATGCCTTAGGTTTGGGTCTACAAACGCATCAGCGCCACATGCCCTCGAAGTCCCTCGCTCCTCCACTACCAACCCCCTCCTGTCCACGCGCTTGCCCCTCATCTAGATGGTCGGTCCCACCGCTCTCCAGGCCAGCACCAAACATCTGGAAGCTCCAAAGCAAGGTCTGGAAGAGTATGATCTCCTTTTGCTGCTCTAGCAGCTTCGCAATGACCTCCTGTATCTCTATAGAATTAGTCCTAGTTGCTGCTGCGTACTGTGTCTCGAATGCGGTGTAGGCTATGACGTAGGCGTTGTTTTGTGCGATGTAGAGGTCTGTGAGCATGGTTTGGTGGGCGCGGAGGGTGGTGAGGAGGGTGGAGGTGGGTTTGGCTTCTAGAAGTAAGGGTGGTGCGAGTGTGATTGGGTAAGAAGCTGTGGGCGCTGGTATGCTATGTTGGGGGTCGGACATTGTGGTGGCTGTGGTGGTGATGGTGATTTTGAGATCTGGGATTAGCTTTGAAGCTGCAGGAATATCTGAAGGGTGGCGAAAGTAGGCGATGTCACGGCTGTGATCTGCGCGAAATCGAGAATCGGAGTGAAATGGTGGGATATGCAAAATGATCTTCATTGCCTGGCCAGAAGGGTTTAGGTAGGCGTGATGTATGTACTAGCAACAAAATGAATGCCGGGCTGCAGGCTTACAATGATCTCAGTGAGATCTCTCAGTGCCTTCGTACCAGGATAGAACGACGAGATAGCTTCATGTTGGGCTCATATTGGTCGATGCTCTGGGATTTCTCGGTGGTAGAGTGTCCGTCTCTGAGGGGCTATCGAATTCCCTCCTTGGTGGTAACCAATCTAGGCTTGTCTTGTTGTCTGCCGCGAAATCTTCTTCGCTGCTCCGTGTAACATTCCATTGCGTATCCCGCCTAGTATTCCTATCCCTGCTACTGCCAGTGGTAACGGCATCCATCTTGATCCTGCCTGCGTTATTCTGGTCTGCTTCAGATCCACTCGGGCTGTGCCGAACGTATCCGTTCGTATCGTATGATATGCTAGACGTGTGGGCACGGCGAAAGAACACAGCAAACGCAGGGCAGCAACCAATACAGATAGCTACAGATGACTCGATGAGCGTCCAGAACGCTAGCCAGGTCGGACTGGGCGCTGTGCTTTCTCCGGACTTTCTGCCGACCTGTATAACGCGTAGAGTGGCGAAGGTGATGCAAACGAAGCCAGATGCGAAGAGTGCGATGATAGCGATCTTCTGCGCGCGTACCATTTGAAGGTTCCAGACAAGTCGGATTGGTAGAAACATGACTGGCAGCATTAATACCAACATTTTTAGTAGGAAGGACCTATCACATACTCATGAGGTCTGATAGGATATCAACAGCGTAGGACATGTACAGGCTAACAAGCTGGGCATGTATGTTTCGGGGGGTATTTGGGCAGTCTCCTCTGACTATCAAGGCGGTAAAATCGGTACAAGAAGTAAGATAAGAAGCGATACAGCCGAGAACAGACTACATCGGAGATTTTAGTGTGGTTAAAGAGCATGCGATAACATAGACTTACAACGATACAAAACGTGAATACTGCCCACCAAAGTCTTGTCCATACACGCGGAAGGCCCTCTAGTAATTTTTTGTACAGTGCCAACAGAGACAGCTTGACCGACCATAGCGTTAACCAAAACAGCACAGTGGTAACGAACACGATCCGAACGTTGAGGACGAAGTCGGACTGGAACGTTGGCCAAGGTTCAAGTGATCCTACCAGAACCTTTGAAATGTCGAAGATCGTAGAAATATTAACAAGGTAGCATATCGACAAGGCGAGGAACAATGCAAAAGCCAGGTATATGAGATAGTCTTGCAACTCCATAGCTTTGCGTCTCCACACCTGCACGCCTATACGTACGAGCATGATGGCTGAAGGTAAAACCACCATGGCGTAAGAGGCCCGAAAGAACTCGGCCTCTGAGATGATCTCTTTGTACTGGGCAGACATGGCTCGGTGTCTCACATCGGACTGGATCGGCCGCTGACTGGCCTCAGGTGTGTAGAAGGGAATGCGCAATGAGGGTAGAAGAATGTAGTCACAACAGTAAACATCGTCCTTTTCTCTTTCTGCCTAAACAGCACATATCAATCCACAAGGTGATCAATAATCGTATTCTCAAAGAGCGGCCAGCCGCAGCATAAATCTGGAAAAGCAGGTCCCCATACAGTGCGGCACAGTACATCCGTGGTGCCCTCACTGGATGAGGCGCAACAGGGGTCGGACACGGCCCGGCGTGGGACGCGAATTAGGTTGATTCCTCTCGGGTTGGGGCCAAATCCTTGAGGCTCGGTTAGCAGATGGTCAATCTAGAATTGAATCCTACGGTGGCGATATCTAGGTGTGGACATAGCAGCCGTCCAAGAGCTTCGGCCCCGGCCGTCGCGAGCGAAAACTTAGTCTTGTTCGTATATGTAGAGCGTTCCAAGTCAAGCTAGATGATGGTTCTGAACGGGCGGCGTTCTGGCATCCCAACAATATGTAACGGGGTGATGTGAGTCATGCTGCAATGCGTCTCGCATCGTGCTATGAGAGCGGCGAAGCTTAAACGCCACTTCGGATGTTCTGGCGGATGCAGGAACGTTAGTGCCGCTAGGTAAAACAAGGGGTTGTGCCGCACGGGCTAGGGCTTATCTAGGCGGCGGTGGCATTGGCGGAGACACCCGCCCAACTTCACGAGCTAGCAGCCCACATATTATTTAGCCACCTCTTCCATCAGCACAAGCATACGCGTCTTCCCACGACTGTCGTCGCCAAACATGTATACCCAAGTTCTTCTCAATACTGAGTCATTTGCACATTCACCGGTCCGAGCAGACATGACTCTCCACAAACTCATCTTCACCTGCGGGCGTCTTTTGAACGGGTGTCATGATGCGAAGGATGCTGCCGTGTGCAGTGGGGTCATGCAGACCGGGGGAAGAGAACTATATGCATGTAACGTGAGCGTTGGCATGGATCTCGGTAATACCGCCTCTTCGTCATTTAAGGTCAGACACAGAAGCGCGATGTACGAAGTCAGTATATGTCTCACACGCAGTCCGTACATCGCAGATTTTACTCAAGCAGGAACGAAGACCATGACCGCCAGACTTTTGGACCCGATTGATAAGCGTCCCAAACTACGGACGCATAGAAAAGCACTCCCATGGGAATATCTAAGAGATGGTGTTTAGTTCATCTAAACCTGCATGTTGAGATCTTCAGTGGACTAGAAACAGACAGGGGTTCAGCTGACTCATCCCGAGGTCTTCGATGTACACATGTGCACTGCATGCCAGCTTACCCTTTCTAAGACTGAAGGCATATACAAGGATAAAAACGCCAATAAGCCCGTCGATGTCGGGCCACAACATCCCCCGCTGCGCCCGGCAAATTGGTATCACCGAGCATTCGCACCTAAGGTTGGAGTGATAAAAGGATCTCGTTCCCTAGTACTGGGTCGCAACCACCGTCATTATAGATTCCTTACTGTAAATACACAGCGTTCTTCCTGCGCCCAGCAATTTCGTCTCACATTCGGGCAATTCTTTTGGTAAAACCTGTTTGTAGATTGACCCTGCTTTTCCGATCGAAAGGATGAAGTACGCCGTCTCATCTGCTGCCTTGGTGGCAGGCGTTGTATCCCAAGCTACTTTCGAACCCGCAGACTTCAATGTAACTGAGGCATTGCTCAAAAATGGTGTTAAAGTCTCTGCTTTACCTGAGCTTGCACCTTTAGCAGAGAGATCTTTATTGGATGGCTGTTCTATCGTCGTAAGTACTGATTAACGAGCATGCAAAATTCGGAAATACTAACATGTCGTCAGTGTAACTCGTTGAAGTTGATCTTTGGTGACAATCAAGTCGAGACACGGTCTGAAGCCGCATACGATGCGTTCATCGGCGATTACTGGGCCGGCCAACAAAGAGACATCTCTCCACAATGTGTCTTCAAACCCGAGAAAGCCTTAGATGTCTCAACTTCCATCCTTCTCTCACGTCTTACACAATGCCCTTTCGCCGCTAAGAGTGGAGGCCACTCAGCAGTACCCGGCGGGTCGAACATTGAGGGTGGTATCACGATCAGTTTCGAGAAGATGAACAAGACAACATCATCTTCTGACAAGAAGAGCGCTACGTTCGAGCCTGGCCAAACATGGTACGACGTGTACACAAAGCTTGAGAAAGATGAAGTTGCCATCATCGGTGGTCGAGTAAGTAGGACTCTGTGAGAATAGAGAGGCGTGTCACTGATGATTGCTTAGGTTGCTAGTGTCGGTGTGGGTGGGCTAACTCTAGGCGGAGGTAAGAACCAAGATGTCACAACACTACCGATTAACATGCGCTGAACCAATCTTCAGGCATCTCATACTTCTCAAGCGAATACGGCTTGGCATGCGACAACGTCATCTCGTATGAGCTGGTCACCGCTTCTGGACTTATCATCAACGTCAGCAAGGACTCGTTTCCAGACCTCTACTGGGCTCTCCGAGGGGGTGGCAACAACTTCGGTATTGTCACCAAGTTCAACGTCAATGCTATCCCCAGAGCGCCAACCATGTGGGGTGGTATGCGAGCATATTACGGAAACCAATCCGAGACTCTCATCAAGGCGTACTACAATCTCGGCATGAACGGAAAGAACGACGGAAAGGCACATCAGATCTTGTCGTTCGGTTATGGAGCTGAAGTCGGGGAGATCGCTCAGGTCGAGCTGGAATACTCAGACCCTATCACTGACGCACCAGTCCTTGCCGAGTACAATAGCATCAAGGGAGCGATCTCGGACAAAGCTGGTATCAATAGCCTCGCAAACCTTACCGCGAACCTAGCGGCCCCAGGTGCAGCTTCTCGACAGGCTTTCTGGACCTGGACGACTAAGCTTGACCTGGAAATGGCCACTCTGGCTAAAGACACCTTCTATGAGGAGCTTGACAGTATCCTCGACGTACCCGGTCTTCTTGGAGCTGTTTCGCTCCAGGTGCTAACCGATCCTATCATTGAGAAAAGTGCCACCAATGGAGGTAATGCGCTTGGGCTCGACCCTAAGGACGGCCCTCTCATGCTAGCTCTTGTCTCGATGAGTTGGGCCAACAGCGCGGACGATGACAAAATGAACAAGTTCCACGCACGCATCAAGGACCGCTGTGTGGCGGCAGCCAAGGCGAAGGGCAAGGCGAACGAATATCTGTACATGAACTACGCCAGTCCGTGGCAGGATCCTGTTGCTGGATACGGTCCCGCGAATAAGGCCAGATTGCAGGCCATTTCCAAGAAATATGATCCTACCGGTGTGTTTGAGATTCTCCAACCGGGCTACTTCAAGCTCAACGGCCCACCGCGGAATGATTTGTAGAGGATTCAATTTTGCACATCTGGCACATGGTAGCCACAGTCAAACAATTCATGCTGTTCATATGATCTATTTCTCTCTCTTCTGGCGCTGCTGTGATAAAAAAGCCTCTGCTTCCGTGCTCACTTCTTATCTTTTGTCTCGGTGGTATCACTGCCGATAGACACACGTTAGCGATTATCTCCAGTTGACTGGAGGTAATCAGTCAAAAAGAAGTTCAATTGGCGTCATGAACGACGGTTGAATGGTGGTTGCTAAAGTGACAAGGACGTCAGTACAAAGAAGTGAAAGTGGCTTCACGTGACATCCCTCCGACCAAGATATTATCGGCCTGTATCGTGCTGGAGGCTGTCTAAAGGGTACTATACATCTTCCAATAGCTCATACTAAGGAACCGCAGCAGCTTCGGCGCGGTGACAACATCAGATGGTCTTCAGAAGCGGTGTGCAGCCGCTCAGTGAGCGCCCGCAAACGCGCAAGGACGCGAAACTTTGCTGGACCCTTTTTTTTTCTCGCGACGATATCCCACACCTTTTCAATTCGAAACTATCAGCACGAACAATCTCGACATCACAAAGCTTTTCGTTCGCCCGTTACCTGCGTCTTCCCGATCACATCCTCACAATCGTGCCCACTGCCGCCGTCCAATCAGTCAGTACATCAACAAGCCACCCCCAAAGCTGTCACCGCCAATTGCAGCTCCCAAGACAACATGGCACCTCGTTCGCGCCTGCCTTCGCGCGATCCCCTCCTCCAAGACGAGAGCGACAGGCTCGTCTACGCGAGCAAGCGCGCCGTGGACAGACAGAACTCCGAGATCTTCAAGCTGGATGACCAGTACGAAGAGCTTCTTGATCAGGCTGAAAATTCTCGACATGAGCAAGAGAAGCTCATCGAAGCCTACCATGGCGCCGACAGCAAAGTGACCAGACTGGATGGTCAGAACAAGAGGCTGAGGACGCAGCTCGAGCTCGTGGGGACGGAGAACGACGAGCTGAAAGCTCACAACAGCGATCTCGCCCGGCGCCTGGCGGAGAGCGAGCGAGAAGTCGCTCGTTTCAAGTCTGCTGAGAAAGAGAAGAAGCGCAAGCGCGAGGACTTGCCGTCGCCGTTTGAGGAGGGTCCAGATGCGGACAAGAGCGCATCCAAGACAGAAGAGAGTTCTCAGGCCAAGGTCCATGGGGACTTGGTCCTTGGCAGGCCGAAGCCACAAGAGATGGCTGCTGCGGTGGAGGACGTGAAGCGGGCTCACAAGAGACCCAGGCGACGACGTCACCGCGATGATACAAGGTATGTCAACATATATCATATTGTCGTCTTCAACTAACATTCGTGATAGTAGGTCTACCGTCAAGGCTGCTGTCGAGGTGGAGGCGGATGTGGTGGAGAAGATGGATGCGTAGATACGGGAGACGCTCGAGGAGGGTGGTAGGATACTGCGTGGTGTATACATGGATGTGTAGGATAGATAGATAGTCACGTCAATAGTACTGAGTACCTCCCCACCGCTCCATAGTATCTTGAATCCTGCGGTGTTGCAGCCATGTGGACCCCAGACTTATGCTAATATCTCACTTGTTGAACGAGAACTCTTCCTCAATTCCATGCAACAAGGCCTGGAGATCAATGAAAAGAAAGTGTTGGGCGCGAGACACCCGGTTCACCAGATTCACACCAAAGGTTGCGACCTGACACTCGCACGATTACGACCATGAGGCAACTAGAGCCTCGAATGGCCGACCTCGCGTGTTACTCACGGGCAGCCGGAGCTGCGAGCGTGATGTAAATCCCATGCAGATGCGAGTATCATCCCATAGAATGGGTATGTACTCTGAGCGAACGATACCCACCGAGGTAGGTATGTTCAACGAACGAGAGTCAAGGACAAGAGAAGATGCAGTGCTTGCAAGCGCCGCTCCAATAACAGACCTCCAGGGCTGCTAGACTGGCCTGTTATAATCTCAACTTGGAGCCTTGCTGGTTGAAGTTCTTGCTGGGACCTCGCCGCACCCGAAGGCGACGTAACAGCTGCGCCTAAAGAAGAAGAAGAGGAATTGGGCGGGAAGTCGAGTATATATGTGCGACGAGAGGACGCTAGTTAGCGAGCACGTGAGCTGTTTTTTCATCGCCTGGTCGTCAGTCTGGCGGCGTAGACGCACTGTTTGTGTGACCAATAAGTGGAGAAAGTGAAGGTGAGAAGCCGCTAGTGACGAAAGCAAGAGATCTCTAGGCAACCATTGAATCAGATACTACCGCTCAAACACCTCCGTCGAATGAGACACTTCCTTTCTTTGTCACTTCACTACCTACGCGTCCAATCAATATCATACAAGATGCCCGTCAACAACAGTTCCACCCAGACAGACGACGTCACCGCTCGCGCCGACGCGACTGGCGACAGCGACTCACCCATCGACCGTAGCTCGCGGATCAATGAGCTCAAGGCGACTCAGACGTCACTCGTGGAGCTGATGTTCGATTTGGTCAAAGATAAGGCAGAAAGCGTCGGCAAGGATGAATACCTGACGCAGATGGAGAAGCGGCTGGAAGAGTTGGAGGAGACCATTCGGCAGCAGCGCGAATGTCTAGACGAGTCGGAGCGCGAGTGTCAGGAACTGGCTTTTGCAGCGAAGATGTACAAAGTGAAGAGCGAATTGTACGATCGCGGGTAGGTCCTTCCATGAATCTTTGAGAGGCCGAGGCTAATACATTACCATCAGTGCTACTCAAGAGACCACCATATCTACGCAGGACGGCTCCGAGCCTGGCTTCCCTGAATGTCCCAAGCGAAGCTTGGATGAGATGCAGTAAGTCCACCTGAACACGTGATCGAGCTCCACTGACATGTACAGATCCGAGAGTGAAAGCCAGCCAGCACCCGCCGCCAAGCGAGTCAAGGTAGCCAAGGAGCGTGTCATCGTGTGCATTTTCTGCTTCCGGAACGGCATGCGGTGTGACTCTGGGGAGCCATGTCAGAGCTGCCTGAAGAATCGTAGCAAGTGCCAGCGTGCGAAGTGTGCCAACTACAAGGCTGGCAAATGTTCCGTCCCAACTTGTACCAGGGTACATGAAGATGACGAGCGGAAGTACAAGAGGACCGTGAACGCAGGTCATGTGGGCAGGAAGGATACGGGTGGTACGTCCAAGGGCGGTCAAGGTGGCGATGAAGGAGGGAAGCCTCCAAAGCGCAAGGGCGGTGGTGCGTCAGGTGTACTAGTAAAGGGTTTCTGAGAAGGCATGAGGGAGCGTGGAGGTCGTCAGCTCGACCGCGAAGATAGAAGACACCATCCCTAAACCAATGTAGCCACAAACATCATCGTAGAGAACTAGGTTTGAGGATATAAAAGTACCCGAAGGGCAGCACACCTCACCATATCATAACTTCGGAAGCCTCATAATACAAAGTAGCCATAATAAGAATCTCATCAACCCAGCATACTCCTCTTCCTCCCCCTCAATCTAACCCCTTCTAACCTCTTTAGGACACCCCTAGCCCCCTTCCCACACTCCCCATACGCCTTGAGCACTTCCTGGAACAGCGGTTCCGCGGCGGGATGTGTTGCCGAGAACGCTCTTTCAAGTACGTACAGATCAACAGCCTTGTCCTCGTCTTGTATGCTAGCAGTCGTGAGACCGAAGTCGATGAGGAAGATGTCGCCAGCTAGCGAGTTGGTGTTGGACTCTTGCGGAGGGTCTGCAGGAGGAAGGTCTGGGGGTTCTTCGCCGTTCATGGCTGCTTCCCGGAGCGTGCTCGTTGTCTGTTTTCCGCGTGGTATTCGTCGTTGTGGTTGTTGTGCTGGAGTGTCTGGCGACTTTGGTGTTCGTAACATGATGTTGCTTGTTGTGAGATCTCCGTGACATACTCCCAGTTCGTGCAGCTTGCCTACTTCCCGTCCGACTCTTCGCATTAGGTCTAGTATCTCTTCTTGTCCTTCCTGTGCTTCTGCATTGCCACTCGCAGCTGCATCTCCCCCTCCAGTCTCCGAGTCTTTCTTCTCTTTTTCTCTCTGCGTGACTTGATGTGCCCACCCGTCCAACACTTTCCTAACAGTCCTGCCATCCACATACTCCAGCACCAACCATCCCGCATCCCAGTCCGCGCCAATCACCCCCGGTACATTAACGCCATCCCGCTTGACTCTTATAAGACTTCGTGCCTCGGCTAGTAACCTCTGCTTTGTAAGGCGCTTGTCTAGGGTGGGATGTCTGTATGGCTTTGGTGGCCGGTATTTGACGACGACGGGCGTATGGGGGGTGAGGAAAGTGGTCTTGTATACAAGGGCCTCAGCGCCTTGTGTTATAATTTCGAGCGCATCCTGAGAGAAAGGCGCGGGGAGCGTGTGGAGGGGACGCGACGTTTCGGGCGGTGGTGGGGGTTCGATTGGAGGGACGACAGGCGGCTCGGCCATTGCGATGCGGTTTGTATTGATGGGCGTGGCTTGCTGCGAGTTGTTGGTTGTGTATGGATCAGAGGTGACGTATTGAATATGCAGCGCGTGAGTAATTTCGGGATGTGTGGTGTCGAGTGTAGATGTTTTGGTGTTGACATTTGAAGCTTCGCAGTTGCCCCGCGATGCGACACCAGCCTTCAGCCCTGTCACGCTTATCGATTCTTTAGCTTCAACACCACGCGAGCATCTTGTCGATCACCGTGCAACGGCCATGGCCACACTACAGTACCGAAATTAGCTTTTACCTTGACCGAGTCGCCGTTGAGAACAGGTGGAGATTACTTCTCCGGATTTGCATTCATTTCGTGAGATTGCGAGCTGTGTCACGGACATACAAGGGTTGCTGCTAGCCAGTGCCTGACTTTCTGGGGAAAGTAGCCCTTGAGTCAAATCCCAGGCGTCATCTCACAATTGCATAGCGTGCGTTTTGAAAGCGAGTGTGATTGCATTTAGGTATCTCATCCTACATGATCCACTCTTCCTTGTGCATCGCCTTGTTGCGGCGGTAGCGAATGGATTTGGTCAAAAGCACAATATCTTCCAACAAACAATGGTAACACAGAACTGAAGCCCCAAGAAGGCAGTGAGCTCCAGCCACAGGCCATTGAGCTCACGTCCATAAAGCATATCCCAAGTCGCCCGCCCAAATCGCCGGGCCAAAAACCGTAGAGCGTTCCCGCCATGCTCATTAAAAGCAGTTCGCATAAGAGTCTGGGGAAACAAGAAGAAGGGGTGGAAAAGGAGATCTTCCCAATGGGCAAGAGACGAATGGTAATCGTGATATTCGAAAGATGGCAAAAGTGACCTTGGTCAAGTGCAGCAAACAAATGAACTAACAAACAAGGAAAGGTTCGTAATGGGCCGTAACAAGAGGCGTCCGGAGAGCGCCACAGTAATATGCACAGGGGAAGAAACTCCCAGTTTTTCTTTCCAATCCGTGGTTGATAGCTTAGAACACGGTGCTCTTGCGCTTCTCAGCGCTGGTAAGAACAAGCTTGGGCATGCGGCGTTGGCCAATCTCCTCGGGACGGATGTCGACCAGGCCGCCTCCAACGGAAGCACCGTCATCGCTGCTGACACTGTTGGCGGTGTAGGAGCGGTTGATGGAGTTGTCGCGAGACCGCTCCTTGGACGCCTTGCGCTCTGAGCCAATGGCGCCGTTGGCAACAGCGCGGAGGCTGCCGATGCTGGGCCTGCCCGAGAGGCTGCCACTTCCTCCGCTGCGAACACTGTCGGAGTCGTTGTCGGACGAAGGGAAGTGGTCGCTGTCTGGCGAGGCGCTTCCGCTGCCGGTACGGTGAGCGCGGCGGCCGATTCCAGCTCGCACAAGGTTGCCCACGGCCTGGCGGCGTTGACGAGTAGCAAAGTTCTTGCTGCCCTCATGCTTGGTAGTGGGACGCTCCTTGAGTTCCTCGATGGAAGGAGGGTTGCGAGGCTGACGCACTGGGTGCTCTCCAGCGCGTGCTTGACCAGGGCCGAATGTGCCAGTCATCGGGGTGGCAGGGAAGCCGACCGGGCGGGTGAAGGCAGAGCGAGGACCCTCCTCGGCCTTGCCATCAACAGCAAGAGAAGACAGGTTCTTCTTGTGGCCGCGACGGAAAGCGTTGGCAGATGGCGGTGGGAGCGGGACCACATCCTGGGGTGGGGTGTTGGACTTCTTCGGCGGCGAAGTGCTGCGCGAACCCCAAGGGCTGGGGTTGCTCTCGTTGGGAGGAGAGACGTGGAGCACTGGGGTATCAACCTTGGGCGGCGAAGTCGCGAAGCGGGGAGTTGGCGGCGGCGGAGAGTGCGACAGACCCGACATGCCATTCTGAGCCTGCATGTCGCCGTTGTCCTGCTGGTAGCTCGGGTCAACGACGTACTGGTACTGGCCAGTCATCTGGTTGAAGACAAGGTAGACACCAGGCTGGTTGGTCTCCTGGATGGCAGCGGTGTTTCCAAACTGCTGACCGTAGGCGTTCATCTGAGGGGTGTATGGCGTGTTGGGGTACTGCTGTCCACCGCTCATGTTCATGTTGCCGAACTGCTGGGTCGTCAGAGCAAGGAGTTGCTGCTGGAGCTGCTGCTGCCTCTGGGCGAGGTAGAGCTCGGTAGCCAGGAGCTGAGCCGCAACGTTGGGGTCCATCTCGCCGTCATCGAACTCGAATTGGGGAGGGGCCAGGACCTGGTTGTAGAAGTCGGGCTGCTGCTGTTGCTGCTGGTACTGGTTGACACCGCTGAAGCCAGAGCCGATGGCAGTCTGGGGACCACCCTGGTTGGTTCGGTTGAACTGCCTGGAGTTGTTGGCGTTGTTGGTACCAATGTTGTGCTGGCGCTGCGAGTAGGGAGCCGAAGCAGGGGGCTGCGCAGACGTGGGAGTCTTGGGCGCAGTGCGGAGGCCAGCCAGGAGGTGGGAGCGGCTGGTGCGAGGAGTCGCAACCGAGTCCTCCGCGATGGAGGCAACCTTGGGCGGCGAGGCAACGCTGAGACGCTTAAGCTGAGCGCCCTTACCGCGAGAGGCAAAGCTTGAGGTGGGACCGCCAAAGCCACCCTGGGATTGGAAGTTGTTGTAGGTCATCTGAGCAAGACCGCCAGCGTCCATGCTCATTGTGGTGGTCTAAGAAGAGTTGCGAACAAAGAGTAAGGTGCAACAAGGAGTATGCTAGGCGCACACGGGGAAAGATACAGAATCGAAGAAGGCCGGAAGAGGGAGTGTTGGCAAGACGGAAACCGAGCGTGCACCGACGAGACGTCTGCTGTGAGGCAGGGTGCGAATTGGCTGGCGATTATGGGATTAAGGATCGTACAGATCGGGATTGTAAGGTAGAGTTGATATCGAAAACCGGCCGATGGGCAATGTAGTTGGAGCTATTAACAAGTTCTTCGGGCGCCGTGTCGTTTGATGTGCGGTCAGAAGGATCGAGTGGTGACGGCAGCAGGCGCGGTCTGGCAGCAGCGAAGATATTTATGAAGGGGAATAGACGAACAGGCAGCGACGGGATCACGGGCAGACAAGCTGGTGGTTGATGCGTCGGCTGGCGAGCTCTTCTTCTCTCGGGGGAGCGACGGGACTGGCGCGCTCGCACAATCTCAGATTAGGCGGGGGGTAAGCTGGTCCAACTGGGGGAGCAGGTAGAAGATGCAGAAGCGGCACTTGTTGTCGAAGAGAGCGAAGGGAGAGAGGTAGAGAGGAAAGGGCGAGATGGAGGGGCCAGGAGAGAAAAGTGACGAGCAGCGGAGGAGCAGCGAGCCATGGACGAATGCGAGCGCTATAAGTGACGGGGGACCTGTGGCAGCGACAGCGACCCTGCATCGAGCCTAGCGCTGGCAGGCCCCCTGGCCGCGCTGGACGCACGCTTGAAACGCTGGGCCTGATGCGTAATGACTGCGCTTGGGCCGTTCCTGCGTGCGAAGGCCCTCGTGTGCGAGCTGGAGCACCTCGCTTTGATGCCGTGACGGTGCATTGCGCGAAGTTGAGTGCTGCTACTGTACACAAAGCGTTCGCTGCGCTCGCGGGTTTCAGGCGCTGGGCGTCATTTGCGGGATGCTCGCTCCTGCCGCACCGGGCGAGGGCCCTGAGCGCTCCTGCCCGACGCCACGACCGTACCTTCCTCGCGGCGCACCCAGCAAGGGCAAGAGCGACTGGCAAACAGAACCACCGAAACAGCGTCTCTCATTGCTCGAGCCCCAAGCCCACGAGCACACCGCAAGACGTGATCCACTGCATCGATAGCGTCTATCTACGCCATCTCGGCCAGTCGTTCGTAGCGTCCGAGTAGTTACCAACGGCGGCTATGCGCCTGCGCGCTGCTACTGGCCAGTCCCATCGCGGCCACCGCAGCCCTTCAGCCACGCACACTCGCTCTAAATATACCCACCACCACCTGTTCACCAGCTCCAGCGACTCCTCTGCAAAGGCATTGGTGTGCGGCCGTCTCTTCTCCGCAACGATGGACAGCGTGGCATGCGCATGAATGGATCCAAGCCCGGCACACTCCATCTCAAATCACTCACCTGTCTGTCAGCAGTCAGCTTCCAAATGTCCGCATCTCCCACGCGCAATCTGCAATGCATGTCGTGCGGGAGGAGCATGCTTGTTGGCGTGTGCCGACCCCGGACCTGGCTGCTGTCACGCTCCCACTGCAGATCCAGCGAGATGCTCGGTGCCTTGGGGCGGCCTCGCAATCGAGTCCCTTTTTTCCACCTTTTTTACACGCGTCGGCTTCCGCGGTCTTTCAATCGACTCGTGCCACTGCGCGTGCAGCCCCTTCTTCGCTGTCGCCTGCCGTTTCGTCCCGGGTCTACCCTGCTGTCTCGCTCTGAAACTGTCGCTCCGTCTCAACCACCGCAGCCCGTGCGTCGCTCCCTCATCTCGCTAGACTCTCCCTGCAGCAACGCCTGCCAAGCCAGACTTGAAAGCGTGAAACATGCTCTCGTTATCGTCACCTAGCGTTTGGGCCCCCGAAGCTGTGGGATGCGGAAGGCGCGCTGTCAGGGCGATGCTTGAACGCTGATCTCCATTCGCGTGTGGGGACGACGCCCCTTCGTATGGAGAAGTCTGAAGACAACTCACAGGTACGTATCATCGTCCAAGCAAGCTCACCAGTCGCGCCGCTACCGCCTGCTGTACATCGTTAGACTCGCTTGCCCTTCGCGAGACTATCGAATCTAGCACCGAGGCCATTCGGAGTGAACCCGGCTACCGGTATCGTATTGGCAGCCGTTCGGTCAGAGCCGCCGTCTTTAGCGGGCAGTATGACTGCTTACGTCCGAACCGGCCGATTGCCCTTCGAAAAGAACCTCATCAGAACGCTTTCGTTCTGGACCGGAAGCCAGCGGCAACGATTAGTGGGGCGCATGAGCCCGTTCGGGAGCGCAGAAAAAAGGCAGGAGTGAGGCGCAGGACTAGACACGACAAGGCAACACGAGTTTTATATGCCTCGAGGTTGGAAGGCTTGACATGTCCAACAGAACGGTGCATCGCAAAGTCAGCATCGTCACACGTCTTATCCAGACGAGTTCCCTCACCAGACAGACAGCTACTGCACCATCAGCACTTGAGCACGCGCTTGCGCAGCTCTGTTTCACGAACACGATCGTCGAGGCCGTTGGAAATAGTGTGCCTCTGGCGCCGCAAGGCTGCATGTTTCGAAATTTCCAAAGCTTCTCGCCCACACATCGCGTACACCTCCAATCTTTGCCTTGGCTCACCAGTGCGATGTCATCCTCCCACTGGATCGATGCTATTAGACATCGTCCATGGTATACATACTACTCTGGACCCTCCATTTCCTTCTCAGTACCACGGGGTGAGAGACAAAGCAGCTGAGAAAGTCAGCTCTATCACGTTGTCCGCGCTCAGCGCAGTCACGAGGTCGTAGACTGATGGGGTGTTCCAAAAGGTCTGGCCTCTTCCATGTGATGGTAAGGAGTGCGCATCAATATGAAAGAGTTGACATGTCGTCAGCGCAATACAGTGTAAGTTCTTCAGTTCATCTGTCGCTGACGGATAATTTGGAAAACCGACGCCGTTTGACTGATATTGTTCCCGTGCTATTTGGAACGTGTTAAACATGAAGAACGACGCTGTTGCTTGAATCCGCACAGCCAATCCTCCAGTCGCATCTAGGAATCATCCTGTCACTTCTACCAACCGTCCAGTCGCATCTAAGAGGTCTTTGCGAGACCCACTAGTAGTGTTTTCGCATGTTTGACACTTGGCATGAGACTCGGCACGAAACATCTGACACCACATGTTCATATAGCTCTTTTTAACCAGACTTTTCTCAAGCGTCGCGAACATCAGGCAAACTGTTTCGATCAGCGCCGTCGCCCGTTTTCCGATGTCTGCGGCAGCGTTAGTAACGGAGCGATGGAGACTCCTAGGCACGCGAGAGAGGAGTATATAGTCACCCTCGACGCTGCGCATCTTCTAATAACCAGATCTGCAGCGCATTTCCCATCTTCTACTACCTTTCTACTACCATCGATATCTTCTACAGCATCCTTCTTAATATTCACTAATACTCTTAATTGTCATCCTGACATTTCGACTTAATCCAAATCATCTCAGCCTAATCCAAATCATCATGCTTTTCTCGAACATCGCAATTGCGGCTTTGGCCCAGAGCTTGACTGCCTCCGCTGCTACCATGATGGTCACGGTCGCTGCCAACAATAAGTTCCAGTTTACGCCTAACTCTATTGTTGCCCAACCCGGTGACATGGTCGCTTTCAACTTTGTCAGCCAGGTACGCAACTGCTTCCATCACTTCACCACTACTCCAACAGATACTAACTCTATCCTCACAGAACCACAGTGTCGCCTCCTCCGACGCAAACAGCCCCTGCCAGCCCCAGGCGAACGCCATCTTTTCCGACTTCCAGCCCATCCCCGGCAACCCTAACGGCTCCCCAGGTGCAGGTGGCGCTGGCGGCGCTGGTGGTGCTGGCAATGCCGCTGGAGCTGCCGCTGCCGCTAACGGTAACGGTAAAGGCAACGGCCGCAACCGCAACAACAACCGCCAAGCTGGAAACACACCCATGTTCATGGTCCCCGTCGTCGACAACCAGCCCATGTACATCTACTGCTCGCAAGCCCAACATTGCCAACAGGGCATGGTCATGGTCATCAACCCGCCCAACGCTCAGGCCGTAACTCAGTACCAGAACCTCGCTGCTCAAGCAAACAACAACGTTTCTCCACAGGGTGGCATCAGCGGTGGACAGGTCGTCAACAACCTCGCTGGAACTACACCCAAGAGCGTCCTCGGTGGTACGGCTGGTGATGCGGCAACGGCAGCGAAGGCGGCTACAAACGGCAATGGCAAGGGCAAGGGTGGCGGTGCTGGTGCTGGTGGTCTTGCTGGATTCCTTGCGGGCCTTGGTAAGAACAACGTCGTCGTTGAGACCAGCTCCAAGAAACTCTTCGGCTTCCCCGGTGCTGGTGCTCTTGGTGGTGCTGGCGCTCTCGGTGGTGGTGGTGCGGCCGCGGCCCTCGCTGGAGGTGCTGGTGCTGGAGGTGCTGGCGCAGCCGCAGGTGGCGGCGGTGCTGGTGCCATTGCTAAGAGCGGTCTCAAGGGTTTCCTTAACGGACTTGCTCAGGGCGCCAACTAAGCATGCGCATAAATAGAATAGATATATTTGGTTGAGTAGGAGGTCGTGGGTATGGGGTTGGAGCTGTATGGTATAAGCACGACGATATCGATGGTAGTAAAAGAATGCTGGTCATTGAAATGTAAATAGTAGTAATATATACATATACCTTATGAAATTTATTGGAGTAGTTTCTATGCATCTCCATGAGCGCGTCGTGGGAAGTTGGGTTGGTAGCAGTGACGTCACACTCTTTTTCTCAACTAGCTATTGTTCAGCGACGCTCCTTCACCCACAAAGCACACAGCAGACGGAGTATGAGATACACATTTATAGCTTACCCGAAGCGTTTGGAAATCTACTACCTGATCGATACCGCCATACGTCGTCACTAACAGGACGCATGTCATCACTACCCAGGGCGCGCAGCAAAGTGAGAGTAAGTACACACTGCATCCAGAACAATAGCATGAAGCCGAAATATTCGCCGTTTCTTTGTCCAGCACAGCTTCACTTGCTATGTTCCTCGCGACGGTACAATGGTAAGCCACAACAATGGTAAGCAGGTAGACAGCTGGCAGCTCACTGTCCATGCGTCCACATATACCTTGATATCTACTTCTTCCAACCTCCTGACACGACTCCTACTCCTCTCACATTTTGCTTCCCGATTCCACATTGCAACAGAATCGACGTTCTACATACAAGCATCTCCTTCAAGCACTACCAACCACAACATCGACACCAAAGTCCACAACCCACACCCATCAAACACAACGACACGATGCTGGAAACCATCTCACAGCTGCTGCTGGCTCAGCTCACTATCTTCTACCTCTCCACCAAGACCATCATTCCCAGTTTCGACTTCCCAATTCTCAACATCTGCGTACTCGTCAACGACATCACACGGCCCCCATCTACGCTTCCATGCACCCAGGCCCGTTCTCAGCACAAGCCACACGGCGGCAGCAGCAGCAAGCAACGGACGCCAAAGACGAAGAAGTCAAGGTGCAACATTACGCCCACGATCAACGAGATGTCGTCTCCTGGTCTTCAGTGTGCGACTATGTAATCGGCCATGGGGAGAGAGGGGCTGGAGAGTGTTGAGCGCTGGTTCGCTGATATCTTGTCGCACATGGTAAGTTGAGTGCAAGCCTACTTATGTGTACCTTTTACTGATCTTGATGGCAGATTTGCAGCATTGAGCATCAATCAGCTTTTGATATCTGGAATACGTCAGCGGGGTGGCAATATGCGGGTTGTCACGTTTACATTATACGGAGGGTTGATAGAGTTCTTTGCGATTCTTCCATTCTTCTTTTCGACAGCACCGATGGTTTATGTCGAGTGTACATCACCATCGTACCAGACGGAGCAAACTTGTAATACTTTTTGTATAATTTTGATAGTGTCCTAGAACTCGAAATCTACTATTGGTGTCTATATGCAAGCAGTGTACTAAATCTATGTACTGGAACACGTCTCCCCCATCATGTACCCATGTGACTTCATCGCACTCAACGACGCTTGCCCAGCATCTCGACACCCAAGCCATCCTTGCCTTCCTCACGTGTAATCTGCTCGGCAGCCTTGACGAGATCGTATGTAATGTCGTCTCCAACAACGCTATCCTTCTTGTAGTTTGGATGCGTTTGGACAAAATGCCTGATCCACTTAGCCGCAGTCCAGTATGTTCCATTGGCGCGTTTGCGGATCAAGTCCAGGTAGGTGGCGAGATCGCAACGTGTTTCAACATCGACGTTCATGCTGTTGAGGTAGGATTCCACAAGCGGGATGAGACCCGGGAAGCCATTGCCATCACCAGTAGTCTTGCCGTTGATGACTTCATTGATAGTCATCTGCTCGTACTCGTCTTCCACTCGGCCGGTGGGCGTCGCTGGGCGACTGGCATTTCCAGCTGGTGTAGATGCACCCGTTCCGCCCGACTTATGTGCCGAGAAAGGGTCCTTTCGGAACCAGAACTTTTGCGTTGATACAGCGTCGCGGATGTGCGCTGTTTCCATGTTCTCACTCACTAGCGTGATGGGAATGTAGAAGTTGAGGTTGAATGAGAGGATAGCACGGGTCAGTAGCACAATGAAGATCGAAAATGCAGCATTTTCGAAATCCGTGATTTGGATCTCCATGGGCCGGAACTCGACGCGCCAGCCCATGTCGGAACCAGCTGGCGGTGGCTTGAAGCGCATGTGCTGCCAATTGGTCGACTGCAGGTTTTCAAAGTGGTCAGCCTTGGTAAGGTCCAACTCTTGAAGATCTTCGGCGAAAACGACAATGGGATCGCGGATGAACAGGTGAGCAAAGTGTGTCGCTAGGAGATCGTCCATGCCACCCTCGACGAGCCGTTGCTTGATGTCGCTGTCAATGATGAGATCCGGGTCAAGATACTCAGGGCGTAGGCGAGGATCTTGGGAGATGTAGGTTGAGTTTGATGCGTAGCGAGATTTGGGTAGTCGCCATCGGTCGTTCTTGAGCGGCTATGACGTGTCAGCGGATTCTTGACCCCCCACAAGCACATGACTTACCTTCTCCCCAAGTTCTTCAGGCGTACGATCATCGACCGCCCTGCTAATCTGGTTCCACCGCACATCGGTGTCGGCCAGGAAGCCCTTGTAGATGGGGGTCGCCGCCGTCAATGCTAGCAGGATAGGTGCTATCGGACTGAGCTGGTCGTACATCTTCCTTCCCTCTTCAATGTTTTTTGCTTGGAAAGTGATCTGCAGACAGCAGCTTCCCATGCCAAAAGCCATGGCATCCATGTGGATGTAGTTGTCCTTGGCAGCGCCATTGCGCACGTCATCATCTTCAGGCCAGTTATGCATGTCATAGTTGACTGTAGGATCCTTCCACGGCCATGGCGTGTTCTCGTCCTTGAAGACAGGGACGTTTACTTCGACCTTCCGGCCCCTCCGCCAACGAATGTTTGCTGCCAGCGTGGGAAACCGAATGTGTGGATTGGCAATTTCGTCCGGAACAAACTGGGAGCGCAGCTTGGGTCCTGAAACAGGATATGATGGTACGATACAATCGGTCGATCCAAGACGAGGGAACGTCGTTAATGTGATTGGAAACTCGGTCTGTGCCATGTGATCCTTCGCTATGGTTCGTCTGCAGGAAAGGTGAGCAATCACTTCATCGACGATGAGGTGGTCTGATCTACCTCCATTTCATGTTTGGTTCAACGTCAAGCAGGTCCTTGAAGCCAATGCCCCAGGGCTTCCCAGGAGTTGCTTCGAGCATGAATCTGCCGAACTCAGGATGGAACACCGGCGCCGGGTTTTCCTTCGCGCTGCCATAGTCAGTACAAGACGTCCATATCTGGACAGTCAGGCTCACTCGGCGTCTCCGGTTTGCAAGTCAGGTACCCCGCCGCCCTGCTGCAGAAGCTTTTCATCGTTGGCCAGCGCAGCTAGGATATCAGCCTGACGGAGCGATAGTCGGACCTTGCGGTTGTCCTGGTCATAGCAAACAACCAAGTACTCGATCTGGACGGCAGTCAGTCGCCGACGCTGCAACGGACGAGCGGATGGTGATCCTTCACCTCATCTCCCCAAAGAAGGGCATCCCTCTCCTTGCCTTTAGCATTGCGCCAGATAGCGAGTAATTGCTGTCAATCACATCAGTACGTAGTCCTCCGGGGTCTTGTCACCGAGCGTACTTCAATTCCCCATGACCTGACCTGGCCAGCGACTTTCTTGGCCTCTGGCCAGTCAAGAGGCGTTCCAAGGGCACTTGATATGGCATTAGCGAGGGCGGCGCGCAAAGTAGCACGGATCTCACAGCAGACCCATCCCCAAGTTCTGTAAGGCGTTGCGGTAGGCAGTCCAATGCGGGTTGGTGCACGGGCGGGCCGAGCAGACGTGTGAATGGGTGGCTTCTCGTCTTGAACGGCGATTGCGGGGAGGTGTTCGGGGAGCACTGCAGATTATAGGACGTTTAGCGGGGTTTGATGCAACGCAGGGCTTTTGCAGTTTTGGACGCGCTGCAGACGCCTCGGTTTCCTGCGTTATCAAGGGATCGTCGAATGGCGGGCGATTGAAGGAATGGCAATTTCTACGCGCTCCGCTGGCATCGACGGGCAATTTGCAGAGCTAGAGTCGGGTGTATGGATTATTAATGCGCGATGCAGTAAGCAATTCCTGTGGCCCCTTCCGAGGAGGAAAGCCCCGCCGATGACGCTTGCCTCTTTGGTAAGCTGGTCACGACATCAACTCACTGTGACACTTCTGCTGTGCGCGCATTCCATCTTTCTTTGCGCAACATGGTTGGGCATCCTGACAGCGAGCCCGCATGTACAAATGCGCACGGCGTAGTCTCCTGCTGTCCATAATGCGCCTCGCCTACCGCTGTCTTCAACCACGTGCACGCATGTCGCTACGCCGCGCGAAGCCCTCCTACTGGCGCAAGACCACGCCGCGTACCTAGGTTGAGAATCCCGATAATGTACGTTGCGAAAGGGTCCCCTTGGATACCATTGTCGCGGGCCGCGGGCTCCGGTGGCATGATACCGACCGCGCCGCAAGTATTGGCACCAAAAGCGTCGACGACATGTCTCTTCTTTGCTCTACCAAGCCGGCTCATTTCTTGGGCGGTGGTGTTGTCTGAGCTAAGCAACCGCCACTGCGGTACTGCACGACCAGGATCGGCTGCTGCTAGGCGTGCCGCACACTTTGCATCGTCGAGGTGCACATCGCCTTGCATATTGGGGGCACCAGAACGCAAGGTTATCGTGTCCTCGCTACTCTGGGCCTTCTGCAGCTACTTGGGTTGCAAGGTGCGACTCCGATGAGTTGTTATTTGACAGATGATACAATATGCGGGCAGCCTGTTTATATTGGGACGAGCCTGCGTCAGTCGTGGGCTGTGGTGCGAGCACTGCGGCACCCTTCTTCACACACTCGAGGAGCAGCGGCTATCATACGACTGTGATGCGCAAAGTGAAACAGGATTTAAGGTATTAACTTCTAGATTCAATAACTTCTACGTCGCTGGGCCTGAAAGCCGGTGGTATCTCTTTGTAAACGCCTGTCAAAATCCCCAAAGACTCGCACACTTCTAGTAAAGTGTGTCGCGCAAGAATGCCTAGAAGAACAGTAATCGTGAGATGGTAAGCGCTTGTTTCGGCGCACCGAAACGCCCAACCTATGATCGAGCCATCCTAGCAGATGGTGATATACAGAGAACGCCTTCAGCCAGTCTGCGGGCCTGGAAACCCTTGTGTATGTGCCAAAATGCAACTACCACTACTAAAAGACAAGCAAGAAATAGACCGTAGTATACGTGAAGCCCTAGTGCCGAGCGTGGCATGATGTTCTGGATCCGTTGTGGGCAACATCGGTGTGTTGACACGGAGGCACCGGTTCTCCCGGTTCGCCGTCTCCTCCAGAGTCGACCAAGCCGTCTGCAAATGACGTCCCTAAAAATGGTATATGGGACCGCCGAAAATGTGAATGATACAGGGTCATGGTCTCTAGTAAGACCCGCCAGTAGGCATGGGCCCTCTTTGTAAATGCAAACAGTATCTGCGCCAACACTCCTATGTAGTGAAGATGATGGAGACGTGTGATGGTGGTAACAAGCCCCAGAAAGATGTCGAAGCAAATATGTACGGCTCCAGGGTGATATGTCGGGTTAGAAAATTACTGTGGTCGATGATCACATCGTGGGTGAACCGTGGTCAATGGATTTGGGTCGTAAGTTTGAGCTGGTCATGGCTTGCTTGCCACCCATTTTGCGGGTGAGCTTTGCATAGTCTGAAGGCAACGTTAGTCTGGGAACACATATACTATTGTGGATTGACAACTTACGTAGACCGCAAGCATTGCACAAAGTCCTGGCGCCATCTGGCCCTCTTCGCCACTCAGGGGTCTCGGCTCTATTGCAGCTATGGCATCGACCTGGCGGCGCAGCTCGCTGTCAGGTGTGTCAGTAAGAGTAATCAGTTGGTGGGGTGTGGATCACTTACGCCTCGTTTCCGAGTCTTGTTATCGCCACCAGCAAAGCCGCCCATGCCTTTGTTGTCGTCACCGTAGTTGCTTGCATTGTCATCGTAGC